TATTCTGTGGCCTTCCGGCCATGGAATAAATCCCTGATTTTCAAAGATTGTTCCCTCAAGGTAGCTCTATATTACCTCTTATTTTATTTCTTATAACTGTTATTTATTTATGTATTTATTTTTCTTTTTGAGTTCTCATGGCCGGAAAATGGAATTTATTGGACATGACTTGATAATAGTAACTAAAGCGCTCAAAATCAGTTGGGAAGTTTCTTTAGAACAGCATCTTTGATGTTCTACCGCCCTAATCTCGTATCCAGATCCCACGGTGTAACTGTAACTTGGCCACTAAAGGTCTGGATACGAGACTACGTTTACTCCCCCCTCCCCCCTGCTTCCGATTTGCCCGCCCTAATCTCGTACCTAGATCCTACGTTGTAACTATTAGTTGCCATGAAAGGTCTGAGTACGAGGCTACTTTCGCTCTCTTCCCCCCCCCCCCTACCGCTTCCAATTTGTTTATTGCCAATGTGCTGATGTTATCTTACAGTCCAACATTGCAAGGGGTAGGAGGGACAAGAGAGACACAAAGGTGTCTGGGAGTGAAGTTTTAAATATTTGAAAGTGAAAGCTTTACAAAAGTTGAAAGCCAGAAAACAAGTGTTCTGATTAACAAAATCGAGCAATGATTCAGAGATATAAGGATACTAGAAAATTAACTGTGTGTTGACGGCAGTCTTTTGGACTCTTGCCTATCGCTAATTCGGGAGAATATTTCAAGAAAACGGAATACATTTTGAAGCATTCCTAACACCCACCAACCTCACTGAAGTTGAGCAGCCGTAACATGGCTACGAAGTTCGTAGCACCTGTTATCGCTTAAGCCCTCCTTGCCATCGTCTCCTCAGTAGGCAAACCCCTGGAGAAAAAGTTTGTTGTCTCAGCGGAAAAACCTATGTCAGCTTATATTTGCAGAAGAAAATTCGTGGCCCTGAACGCTCAAATGGATCGAAAGGTGGAGCATGTGCACTCATTGTGCCGCTTCTAACCAAGGTGGGAAGGTACACAAAAAATTTATTTTTTCCCCTTGAGAACATGGAGAATTTTAAAAGGCTTTGCACCAACTTTAGGTAAATCTGAGGCTAATCCTGTACCCAGATCCTACAGTGTAATTTTAATCGCTTATCCGTGAAAGTTCTGGGTACGAAACTAATCTGAGGCCTCGATTTGGTTTTTTTTAAGACCTCTCAGAGGTCTTAAAAAACCAAATCGAGGCCTCAGGAAAACTGGGCCTTCGATGTGCAGCAAGTACTACTTGATGAGCGACCGCGACTTACTGCACATGGAAGGCCCAGTTTTCCTGGATCGGGCACAGACATATCGAACGTAAGCCACAATTTCGAATTCCCCGTGATTCCCGTGATGCGTATATCGCATCGTATATCGCATTGCATATCGTATATCGTATATCGTATATCGTATATCGTATATCGTGATGCGTATATCGCAATTATAGCACGAAAATAAAAGCTACACTTGAAATGCCTTTGACCCGAAAAATATTTTTTTCCTGTCAAACTAGCTCTTGGTCGAGCAGCTGCCAAATTCCGAGTGATGTTTGATACTTTTGAAATGTCGGAAATCAAAATTTATTAATGGAAATGGAAGAATCTTCCGGATAGAGTAAAGATGTTTCCAGATATATCTCTTTTTCTTCTCTTTCGAACCTGCACAAATTAACACGAAACCATGTAATTGCCCCTGGAGCTGTTATTTATAAGTTTGTCGTTGATTAATTCCCTCAAGCTAAATCTAAAATGCAGAGTCTTTTAAGAAAAATGAATATGTTTGTGTGTATCGGAGAAATATAGAAACAGAGCCAGGAATACAAATGACGTACATTATTTATGCAGATAAGGCCAATCAGGAAACATTTTATCTTCTTCCGACGTTTTTCTCGTGTTAGTGTTTCAGTAAAATAACACATCTTGGCCTACATTATTCATAAAAAAAGTTTAAAAAAACGTGTAAAACAGTGAATTCATTTGTCCTAACAGAAGATCACCTTGGATATTCACAATTTCAAAGAGGAAATTTTATCCTTTTATAAACAAAAAAACTGTCCTATTTAAAGTAAGAAACTTATCTTTTATTATGCAAATGAAAGCTGGATTTACTTTAAACAAATTTTGAATTGTCTTTTAGATCTTAATAGAATTTTTTAAAAAAAAAAATTGAAATCCCTGCTCTCAAAATGGACGATTTGTGTTTATTTGTCCTTAAATTCGTGTTACTGTATTGATTCAGAACCTTTAGGACGCATCCTGTATAAACGACTCGGTTTTTTCTGTAATTACCTACATATCGTGAGGCTAAGATTAAGAACTATTGAAATGTTTGGCGAGAGTTAGCCAATAAAAAACGTTTTTCCATCGGCAGCTGGGTAAGAATCGAAACGATTTCTGTCTTGGTTCAAAAGTGTAGGCACTTCGTGGTAAGTGTCAGATGCAAGCACGGTATTAACGTAGTCAAGATCAAAGGGATTATACTATCTCCTCGAGTTGTTGAGTATGTCTAAAGAAGAAAAACTATGGCCTGAACCTGCTCCAAATTGGCCTGAAGCGAAAAACGTTTGGAAGTGGGGCTGGCCATTTCACGTTTATCTCTTTACCACCTTAAATTTTCTGGTGGTTCTTCGCAGCTTATACGTAATGATTGAACAAAGAAAATCACATGTTTTGACGAAAGACCACCGCTTCTTTATGAACCTGTTTCTTCTAGTGTTCGGCACGACTCGTGCAGTATTTTTGCTTTCAAATCCATACGGATCAGATCCTGATGCTACCAAATCAGAGCTGGTTATCTGCATCGTCACGTTTGGTATCGGAACTGCATGTATTACGTCAGCATTCAGTTTCGTGCTGTTGATCGTTCTCGAAAGCACTCGTCTTTCGCTTGCGCCGAGCAAGTTTCAAAACAGAGGCTTTCTTCTCGGGGTATGTATTGTCAATATTCTTTACGTGATCATATCCGACGTAATCGTTGCGCATTTTCCCGTGGCCAAAGCAATGATTTTAGTTTGTCAAGTATTGTTCGCCATCTGGGGATTTCTGATTGCATTGGGCTTCGCTTTGGCTGGCGCACGACTTTGGCGTAACTTAAAGGCTTCGCGCCAAACCGCTCAGTTCGACCCTGAACTGGCAGCCGAGAGCAAGAAGATCACAAGATTGGTGTTTTTGCTTTATGCAGCATCGTTCTGTGGGGTGGCGATGTTCTCCACGATTGTTTACCAAGCTTTTGGCGACACAGGAGTATACAATGAGTCTGGACTAGTAAGCAATTGGCCGTGGATTGCTGTCCAGACATTGTTGAGAACATCCGAGTCATTGATGTGCTTACTGGTATTTTTAGTTGCTCTGAGGACAAGAATTGCTAAGCGCACACAAAACAATCAAGTCGACAGTTACTCGAAGTCTTAGGGCTAATGAAGCAACAGGGTTAGCTTTCATTACCACCACGAAAACGACTAAAAGAGACAGAAACACCAAGTCGGTCGCAAAGGTTCCGCAATTAATGATAAATTTTCTTTAAAAAAAAGTCAACGAGGATTACAAAACTTTCACTCTCTTGAAATCTTTTTGTTAATTTTTTATCGCTCAAATAGATTTCGTAAACTTCTTCGCCGGAATAATTAATTATTTAGTTTCCTTAGCTTGAATTAAATGCGATTACTCTACTACCGACGTAATTATAAATAAAAGATAAGGAAAGCTTTTCCTATTTCAAGAACTTTTTCTCACTATTGACCACTATTTCTTGTTTTGCAAGCTTGCTTTTCTTAACGTCCAAAGATATGACTTCAATAGAGCTGATTTAAGGTTTAAATTAGTTTAGAGGTACTTAGAGGTAAATTGACAACTCCAGATTCTAACTTACTCACTGTGACGGATAAAAACGTTCCGATCAGCAAAATGTTTTTATTTAATGTGTTTTAAAAGAAAAATACGCCATCTTGGATATTAAGCTCTTACGTGACAAATCAACCATGTTAAAGTGTGTGGTAAAAAAACAACCGGCCTCTTTTCCGGTGACGGAGAAATTCATTCATCACCAAGAATAACTCGCTTGCGCCGTTTGCTGTTATGAATAATGTTCAAATGGTTGGAAAAAGTTAGCGCGGTCAGATCAAGATCAATTTCCCCCCTGATGTATTTCGGTTCCCCCCTCTCTCCCTCGCAGAGGCTTTTTGGAACATATCTGCTAAATGTAATGACTCTGCAGGCGCACGAATAGAACAAGCGTTTAGGGTTTAGCGTGTGGGAGCGATCTAACTAGGCTTCCGCTCATCAACTGCTCATATCTTCTATTTTTGACCAGGCACGTGAAACGATTCAAAAATTACTGAGGTAAAAAGCAATTTCTTCAAAATTTCTACAATTTCTTTCATGGTTTCGTTGATAAATGAAGTGTTGAAACTTCCCAACTGTCGATCGATTCTCTATACTTTCAATCTGATTCCTAGAACTTTTCCCTAAGGCGAGAAATTTTAACTATATGAAGTTTCGAAGAAAATTCCTAAAACCCATGACATAGATACATGCAATCTGTTTTCCCTTCACAAGCGTAAACGGAAATCGAATTCATATACGTGTTATGAACAAGAAAGGAATGAGCCAAACTCATCTTGATTCGTTCCAGTCTCTTCTCGCCTCTTGCTCTACTCACATTGTTCATCATTACGTAAGATTAATAATAAATATGATCAATAAGCTAAAAAGTCTAATTGATTTTCGTCAATCCGCAACTTGAATGGTTCAGCGTGTTGGCTCCGGATTGAATATTGAATGCGTTATTTTAAGACAGACAGATTTATTGTCTCATGCTCTCTTGCAAGACGCAATGCAAATGGCTTTCTCCAACTCCAACCGGGAACGAAATCAAATACCCGCCGACTGAAAAGAAATTACAGAGATCAGCTGTTCTCCTTTGATAATTCCATTGCGGCATTACGGTGGCAGTATTCGACTATTCTTAAAGAAACCGCTTTAACAACCCTTTTATTTATTATCTCTATTAAACATTTCATCTCACACCAAAATACACTTTATCCGCAGGTGTTAAATTTTACAATTTTATCCATTACAATTCAGCGATATTTAGTGTTCACGTTCCCTTTATCTTTCTAAGTAGGCGGAGAAATCAAAGCAAGATATGTTCAAGTATATGGTTAAATTGAACGCTTTTCAGTGCCTTTCATATGAATCAGTAAATAGAAAATAATAGCTGAAAGTAGATAGACAAAAGAGCGGCCTTCGGTTAAGAAAAGTTGCTCTTTACACATATTTCGCTAATTGATGTGGCAAATTGTGTCGAAGTAAAAAAAAAACGACACCAATTGAAAATTAAGCTTTGTTATTAGACCAGTTCCGGCGTAATTTGTAAATCAAGCCTGGAATAAAAACATTAGCAGCGAAAAACATGAATATACGACTATATAATTGTGGTCATAAAGAATTAAATGGGCGAATAACCTAAGGTTATTTCTTTCCAAACGCAGTGCTATTAAATCATTTCCTCCCTGTATGAATGAATGTCATGTCCCGTGTGAAGTGGTCAAAGTGTTAACTTTGAGAAAGAAGCTGTTCGAACTCACGGTCTCGGGTGCTTCAGTCAAAATGTTTGCGTCGAGCAGTTGACCCTCTCTAGCGTCGAGTCATTGCTGATCTGATTATTTTTCGTGGGCTTAGAAGTTCTCGTTTTCAAAGCGACTAGGTATATCAGCAAGCACATCAGTACCTCTAATGTTCTCATTAATGTCTTCACTGCAATCCAAGGCCAACTCCTCACTAAACCAGACTCGTTATTCACTCCTGTTGCGCCAAAGGCTGAATAAACAATGGTTGAGAACGTTAAAACTCCGCAAAACGACGATGAATAAAGCAAACTGACCAATCTTCTGACCTTCTTACTCTCGGCAGCCAGAACAGGGTCGTACTGAGAGGTTTGACGCGAAGCTTTCAAGTTGCGCCAAAGTCGTGCGGCAGCTGTAATAAACCCTATCGCAATCAGAAATCCCCAGGCAGCAAAACTGACTTGACAAACTATTATCATAGCTTTAGCTTCGTGAAAATTGGCAACGATTAAATCAGACACGATCACGTACAGAATGTTGACGATGGAAAGTCCAAGAAGAAATCCTCTGTTTTGAAACTTGCTGGGAGCGAGCGAAATGCGTGTGCTTTCTAGAACGATCAACAGCACAAAACTAAATGCTGATACAATACATGCAGTTCCGATACCAAACGTGACGATACAGATTACCAGAACTGTTTTGGCAACATCAGGATCCGATTCGTACGGATTCCAAAGCAGGTACATTGTACGACTGAAGCCGAACAATATAAGAAGTAAATTCATCAAGAAGCGATGATCCTTCCTCCTTAAATGCGTTTTTCCTCGTTTGACTAAGTCGTACGTGCCGCGAATCACCACCAAAACGTTTAGGGCTGTAAAAAGATAAATGTGGAAAGGCCAGGCCAACTTCCAAGTTTTTCTCGCTGAAGGCCAATCTGGAGCAGGTTCGGGCCAAGGTTTCTCGTTTTCGACCATACTGAGAAACTTAAACAAATTAAGGAACTCTCCACTGTCGTCAACCTTCACATGGATTTTTACCTGTCACTTTCCGTTCGTGGCGCGAAAGATAATCTATTTTAAAGACTTATTTGACAGGAATTGTTTCGATTCTGACGCAGGTGATACTGAAACAAGACTGTCATTGGCTGATTAATGTACAGCTACATGCTTCGGTCACGTTTTAACCTAAACTAGATATTTCTGAAAACTTGTTTTGCAAATGATGCCTGCCGCCTAAGGTCTGACTCTATCTCAAAAACAATAGCTTGTATATTTAAAACGTCGTTAAACAATATAGATGCATATACATATTTTAATGAATGACTAGCTCCAACGTCAAATTCATTCGCATGTTGAATTTTTGTTTATATAGAGAGCACCGACGCCAATTGATTTGCATAATATTTATGAACGTCTCTTTTTGAAAAGACGAATACTTTTTTCTTCTCCTAGAAATAAACATCTGAATAAACAAACTTACATGCAACCAACACAAATAAAGAATTTTTATTTTTTCATTCTGAAATTTCGAAGAAAATATATCACAACAAAAATTGGTAATTTTGTTTTGAGACAATGTGTAAATCAGTATATTTATTATTTATCAAACTTAAGTCACCTGACTTGCGACAATGTCAATACTCTGTCTAATAATTTTCTTTATTAACAATTTCGAGAAAAAAAATTGCCCGTAATTTCTGGCCCTAAGGTCAAAATGCAGTTCAAAGTGTTTTGCAACTTAATACTTAACAACGAATTGCTACGGAGAGTGAAACTTTATCATATAAGAACCAGCAAACATGCCTAGCTTTAATGAGGAAAGTTTGTTTACACATTATCAGTGTGTCAGCGAAATTTGAGTCATGGTTTTCTCAAAGAGGAATAATTTACGAAATAGCATGTATTCGTTTTTTAAGACACGGCACAGCGTGGAATGTTTCACTGTACGTTGGTACTTAAAATATTAGATCCGGGACATTTGGTCAGCGCTTCGAACAGCAATGTCTAAGTGCTCTAAAAGTGATGTTATCATCATCATTATTGTTATTATTATTATTATTATTATTATTATTGTGGTTATTATTATTGGTTTTGTATGTACCTCAGTCTTGATTTCCCAAGAAAAGTTTTGTAATTGATCCATTTCTAACAAAATTTATGGCTGAGTTTAGTGTACGAGGTTTAGATATTGGTCGATTGCGCTGGCTTAAGATGCATTCATTTCATTTTCAAATTTGATTTCCCACTCCATGAGTAAGAAAGTGTTTTTTTTTAGATTTTCATCGGTTCTGGTATCATCGCACAGTGCATACTGGTCAAAACTGGGTCTGTAAAAAGACTTCAGCAAGTCATTAGGCATTTAATACGAGATCAGGAAGAATAACACTGAGCTTAACTCAATTCTCCCTTGTGTGAGATAACTGGCTCTTGTAGCTTAGATTCGGTGTACTGATGAAACGCATCTTTTAAAAGGTTTCCCGTTGCAATCAGGCAGTCAGCGTCATCTCCAAAGATTTTCGTTCTCCTAGCTTTCTAAATAATGTCGCCATTCCGATCTGAGAGTGATCATAACTACCACTTGGCTATCCTTTGTTCAAAGAATTACATGAGAATAAACCCCAGTCTCGTACCAAGGCCCTCCACGGCCAAACGGCTCCTACAACTCAGTTACTCGGTAGGATCTGGGTACGAGATTAGGTAAAAGATGGTTGATGGAGCCTCTTCCAACGCATGAACACTAATCAATTGACGTATGATTGATTGATTGATTGATTACTTCATGATCACTCATTGACTATTATGGTTATTGACCGTATAACACTTCATTTTCGAGGTGATTTTCTAACCAACTCTTCTAATTTTAGAAGCCAAGCCTGGTTTTGGACGCAGACTCCTTTACGTGTTTATAACCTTTATTTCTGCCTGGGGCTGCCACGCGCAGCTCGCTTTTGTAAAACAACCCGGGGGGCAATTGGACAAAGAACTGACCTCACGGGCGATACCACGAGAAGTTAGAAGACAATGAAATAATAATGATTCAGTTTCCCGGTATATTGGCTTTACATTATTTTGAGAGATGAATAGAACTGCCAAACTAAATTGGAAATGCCTTACAGAAAAGGGCGGTAAAGAAGCAGCCCATTAGGAAGGCGTGCTTCGTGGAAATTGAAAAAAAAACCATGCAAAATGAGGACAGAAATATCATTCAACGCCAAAATAAAGTAACAAAAGAGCTTTTAGAATCGAAGCTCTGTGGTGTACCCTAACTAAAATTTCGCAAATCATCCCCTGTTATAAAAAAATCCAAACAGTCTTGAAGCATGGTCTGAAGCGGGTCTGATTTAACCTCATTTCAAAATTAACCATTTTAGTGTCCGTAATGACTTACTCTGAATGGCTCATTTGTTTCAGTGGTTATTAATTTGCTCGTGGGAGGTACTATTAATCTGTAGGGAAAAACTTTGCCAACATTTTTATCCGCATTCTTACCAATTATTACGATAATTTTTGGCCAATATTCTATGTAGAACGTGACAGGTCTAAATCGCTCATTTTGCATCTAGCAGGGGTTTCAAAAACTCTTTTTCCAAAAGCAGCCGCCGCTGCTGTAATAGGCGGCCGTACCGTAAGGCGACATCCAAAGACGAGAGCCTGCAGGCTAAGCAAACAGCAGTTAGAGGTTTTACATGTGGTGGTAGACCGTTGGTCATCGGCATTTTAAAACTCCTGCTCTAGAGCCTTAACCCTTTAATTCTCAAGATCCAAGTAGCAACTCCCCCCTATCATCACTATACACAAGATAATTCATGGCTATTCTAATGTGGACTTTACTAGATATGTGGATTTTGACGGGCCCGACAAGAACTAAAAATAACCATGACTTTAAATGAAGGCCTAGAGCAGCCAGGACTGACTATTCTAAGTTTTTATTTTTTAACCGTTTCGCCAATTATTGGAACTCTTTACCTAATTTTGTCATGTCAGCTTCCAGTTTGGATTCCTTTAGAACTCGTTTACTGAATTATCTTTGCACATGGTTTTATTTTGTTATCTCGAAATGAGATTTATTCAGATTTTACTTTTTGTTTATTGTTTAGTTGTTTCTCAAGTTTCCTCTTTCTTATACAACGTATAGTAATTTATATTAGCCTTGGAGAACAGTTTTTATATGGGAATTCAGTTTCCCCCTATTACTTTCCTTTACCTACTGTACTTTTATATGGTTATTATTAGATATTAATTATTGTTGTAATTTTTATTAGTAGGTTATTTTATTAGTAGGATTTTGAACAGTGGTAAAAAAAAAATGAAAGAAAAAGAAGAGGGGAGAGTTAGGTGTTATATCATTATGACATTCTCTGGCTGATAAGCTTGTCTCCTCTCATAACATAATCACGTCTGGGAGTTAAAGAGTTAACCCGATCCTTTATACATGCGACAGTGGATAGAAAAATTAAGGTCATTAGGCGCAATTCAGTGATCTCGTAAGACTGATTTTTAGGCATGATTGTAGACAACTTTAAACACGTCATCTCCGCAAACCTAGACTAGGATCACTTTCTGCAAAAAAAAGACTCGAGTACAACATTTTTTTTTTATCAAATTACCCATCAAAATTCCTCTAGAGGAAAGTAAAAGAACCCTCCGGAATTCTTCTCGCGCTAAAAACAGCATAAGGCCTGAGAAGCTCAGATGAAAGTAGCGTCCATCTCGCCCCCGGAAAGGGGAGGGGGTTGGGCGGCCAATATCTACTCTATTTACTCATTCATCTCTACTTTATTTCATTAACTTAATGGTTAACAAAGGAGACAATAAAATCTGACTTGCTCCTATCGTGCGGCCTTGAAGCTCAGTTGGTAGTAGCGCTTAAATGGTATCTAAGGTCATCTAAGAGACAAGATTTGGAACCCCAACTCGAACGGGCCTGTATTCCTGCGGTTTCTCTATCTTTTTTTTTTCTTTTTTCGTTCTGTCCACATGTCAAAATATGATTTATTTCAATTGAATACACTTCCAGAAAGCAACATTTTTATCCTGCATTCTTCGAGCGGAAATTTTCAACGGATCTCGAACTTTCGGTTCTCTTGTACTTTGTCATCGTTATCCTCATCACACCATGGTTAAAACCGATTTATTTCTCATCTTGTTTCTGACTCGGATAAACTGTGAAGCAGACTCAATTTCCTACCGATTATTACCTTAATTCATGGCTCAGCGTGGCACTTGGCGTCAGCTGCACTTTTAAGAAGTTTGCTTGGTGTCTGACTTAGAAAAAATGTTTCCCTCGTGCGATGTCGTTGCTAACCCTTCCTCGAGTGTATAATCCAAACGTGTATACAGGTTCGCGAAAACACTTGACCGTGATCGATTTGAGGGCCTCTATCCAAGAGTTCCACTTATCGCTAATGATTCCCAGATGATTTAGAACTAACAAAGGTCGTGATATTTTAGTCTAATACCTCTCCATTACAACGAATTAACCACGCATGAAGCACTTTGAATAGCTCAGGATCTGTCAAAGCGTGCATCTCTCGTGAATGACAGCAGACTGCATTATTCGACACCACACGAAGATAACCATCAACAATCTACGTGTTAACTTTGAAGCACAGCACCGTTTGGTGAAATGTACTCTTTATTGCGAGCCTTGTGGAAAGTTCCCCATTAAGGCTATGAGTGGAAGGTTATTTGTTGAGTTAGAAATGGAAAAAAAAAAATTGTGCAGAAAAATGCAGCTAAATCTTTTTATTGAACTCAGAAGAGGCCGACGTCAAATTAATTAATTTTTGATACTGTTCCCCGTCTAGTTGTGATAAAAAACGAAATTTTCTACATGGTGGATATAAATACCCCTCTTGTCTCCTTAGCTGTTTTAGAAATGCGACGGTAAAATTCATACCAAAGACTCCCGAACAGATTCGTCTTTCATCAAAGAACTAAATCGCTTTACGAATTGTCTGAGTAGTTTATCGCTGCCCATTTCGATGGCCATCTGAAATGGCGTTAAACCATCGAGTGTCTCAGCAAAAGGGTCACAGCTCGCTTTTAACAACAAATCAACGCATTTCCTTTTCTTTCCACAAACTGCCGCATGCAGCGGTGTCCAGCCATCATCGTCCGAAAGGTTCACGTTGGCACCTTTTTCTAGAAGGTACCGGACACACTCGAGGCTTCCTTCGTATGAGGCCCCGTGTAAAGCCGTAGCACCCTCGGCCGGATTACTCGCGTTTACATCAGCCATTCCTGACTCGATCAACATCTTCACTTCGTCTAAATCGTTCGTAGTCGCGGCGTAATACAGTCGTATGTTTGGGTGGAAGCTGACACTCCGTGGGCGGCTGTATTTTCTTTTGCATGAGTCTTTCTCCTTAGTGGAGTTTTCTCGAATGAAGTTGCGGTTTTCCAGAGATATTTCCGGCGTAGAAGCTGCTCTTGAAATAACAGCAGTTTTCGGATACAAAGACGATCCTGGTGGAGAAACAATAGCATCAGTCTCTGAAAGAAGTTGTCTTCTTTTTCCCTGCTGTGTTATCATATTATCTGCCATGCCTCTGTGTGTTTTGCAAATTCCGTCGATCTAATCAAAAAGTCTCCTTAATTCAAAATGCCCTCAGTAGAGGTAAAAATTGTTCGATCGCAACTTTGGATGTCACCTTGAACAGTCGAGTAGCCTAACAATAACATAGGTATTGTGATGTTGAACGATTTGCGTGTGTGAGCGTTAAACGAACCGGAAAAAATATTCTTCTCTCCATGCGTGGAAAACCTCACAAATGCGTGAAATTGACTCTTACAACAGCTTTCCTGTTGCTTTATACGGCAGGGATCCTAAATGGAAAAGCCAAGGGCTACGTCTAATTGTTTGTAGAACCGCTTAACTTATCTAAGATTGCTGCTTGAATAACAGTATTGTTTTGATAATCAACACCAGCCTTACCTCTGAAGGGATATTTCATCCTCCGTAGAAATATGTGCTTACTTATTTCGGCAAACTTGTAAAGAAGTTTTTAATACCTTGGTTCATTTTTAATCGCTGACCCCATAGTTAATACCTGACCTAAAACGTGATTCGACAGCTTATTTTTAACAGTTTTCCCACTAGCTTAAAAAGCTTAGTCCCATTTTCTGGCGTGACAACACGGTGCGGTTTTTTCCTCATGACCTCGTGGAAACTGTCAGAATAAAGCCTATCACAGCAAGCCGTGGTCTATGGCTTTTTGAATATAAAAGAAAAACAAAACAAAAAAAAACGAGCAAAGGCTCTTTCCACGTAGTACGAATTTGCTTTGGCACCCTTACGATCTTCGTAAGGGATCCTTAAGCTCTTGGCGTGATCTTGTCCTTCTTTAGGGTTTGACCTCACCAGAACGAAGTAATAGTCTATCACATCAACATGAATTTCCGGCGATCGTTAAATCAACGATGTGTCTTGACGCGTCTGAACAACCGGGAAAAAAGTCTGTTATACTTCATAACTTTATATAAAGAAAAAAAAACTAGGGAAAAATATGAAAAAACACTTGAGGAGTTTTTGAACACGATCGTGAATTAATATTCCCTCTTAACGTGGTTAATACCCCCCAGGCTGTTGAAGTCGTCATGCGATACTTTCCGCCGGCACCTTTTGCTTGTTGTGCGAGGGGACTGGAACATCAAGATCGCGCGCCCGCGTGAATAAGCTTTCCCTTTTAGCACTCTTCACCAATTCCGCCGCTTAATCAATATAGGAACCATTCAAAGATAATATTTAACTGTGGATTGGATTTTGTATTTAGTTCAAACAATTGCTCTATATAAATCGAGATCGTGCTCCAGACAGCCTTCCAGAATTGATGGTTTAAAAGTCTATTTTGAAAACTTTTCCTATTGTCCTCTTTTGTTTGTGAGAGCTCAACATTAGACACTTTCATGGACCAAACCGTCTAATTCGCTCGTCATAAAGGTTTCTGCTTTTTCTTTGTCGGCTCAATTACCTGGTTTTTTTTCTTGTTTGTAAGAATTTGAAGGGCTATATTAGTCGAGCGTCACAGAACTTTCATGACCTTTGATGTCTACCTGCAAAGCTGAATCACTGTCGTCTTAGATGGTTCTAGTTTCCCTATACTCCTATTTTGAAGGTCAATAGAGCCTTATGGTTATGCACAGACGCAGGAGGTACCATCTCATACGAAAGTGTGATTACCTTACACGTTAGTTGCAGGACGTAAATCATAAATCGTTGTAAATGTGATCGCTTTACTTGAAAATGTGACTTGAGTCACAACAGTTCTACTAGTCTAGTTGAGGACGAGTGCTTGTATAGTTCCGCTTGTCCTGGTTTCCAAGTTTCATGAAGCCAACTAGGAGTATTACTACTCCCTACTGGATGGGATGCTTATCCATCGTTACCCCACACCCCCCCCCCCTCCCCCAGCTCTTCATCATGCTTACCTGACAATCAGCTGATACCCATCTATACTTCTGGGTGCGGAGAGGAACTGTGAGGGTACAGAGTTTTGCACAAGAACACAACTCAATGACCTGGCCAAGGTCTTGAACCCAGGCCTCTCGACCCTGTGTCCAGTGCACTGACCATTAGGCCACTGGAAGGGGGTGGGGGGGGTGGGGAAATCGCAGATTATGGTATTACCTTTGGTGCTCATTGTCGAAATTCCCATGTTTTAGCTGCATGTTTTCCTCTCTGTTGGGATTTGCAAGAAGAGGTATAAAATCTCTAACCACTCATAGTTAGGTTTCCTTTTGGGCATAAGATAAATTATTTTGCGTGTCGAAAGGAAAAGAACTTGTATTTAACACCATATAAAGAGAACTAGGGAATTATGCAATAAGTCACGAAATACAAGAAACAATTTAAAAAAAAACCCTCGTGATTGGAAAATCAAAATGAAATCGAAAGCGCAAGTTCATGGCCTATGGTCAAAATTTCAGGTTTTTTTGTTTACGACGATGGATCACATCCTACGCGGTTTTTAACGAATATAACATTCTTAAACAAATAATCGTAACTAGAATAAATAATTTTTTGAAAATAAATTTTTTTTTTTTTTAAAGTACATCTTAGTTTAAATTTGGAATCCTGAAAAAGTATGGCCAGAATAATATTTCTTTTTCAAAAGAAAGTGAGTGGGAAACTGTTGAATAAGCTCGTTTCATTGTGATTTTTTTTGTTTTTTTTTGTCTTCGGACAGACAGCATCCGGATAAGATATTTTCATTTTGGTCGTTAGAAGGTTTTTGTTTATTTAAATTTCCAAAAGGGTGTAATTTGCAGATTTTTTTCGTTCGTGATAATTAACGCCTCGAAGCTCGAACAAAAGAAGAATTAACTGACTTAGTTTTAGGCCGTTATTTATTAATACTCTGGAAAAGCATGCACGTTATGATGATTTCAGACAACATGTACAGACGTAATCAGAAAAGAAACAATCTCGTGACTTTTGGTTCTTGGGCAGTCCAAAATTATCACTGGTTTCAGACATCTTCCGACGTCTCGAAGAGCAATCTTGTTGTTTGCCTTTAAAGTTGCATAAAATTTGCTTTTTTCCCAACAACCTGCTAATCTCTCCCATGAGAGGGCGTCATTGTCTATCACACGTCAAAAAACCCCAGTTTTCATTAAAAACTTGCCGAGCCAAACGTTGACAGGGGAAGGACAAGAATCAACGCCAGGGAATAATAGTAAACAAATTTTACTTTCATATCCGCACGACAGCATGGAAAATGGGTTCTACGCTTTTTGGCCAAAAGGCATATGATTCTTGGTACGATTTTGGCGAAACATCATTCTCTGCTTAATCAATCGAAGCAATACTGAAATCAGTTGCTCAAATGGCGGCAAAGCCTCAAACGCCCACGATAAAAATCGATTTCTGGGAGCCAGACGCCGCAAGCACTAACAGCGGAGCAGTCAAAAAGATCTCGGTGGAAAAACCTTCTGTGAACAAACTGAAACTCAAGTACAAAACCGAGCGACTTAGAAGCTACAGCAATAGTCTCAGGGATGCTGTTATGACTAACAATCCCGAGGCGATTCCTAGAATTGTCAAAGAGGAAGGAGTCAAAGTCAATGAAATGAGCAAGAACGGCGTTCCATTGATTCACGAGGCAGCATTTGATGGAAAACTGGAATGTGTGAAAGCGTTGCTGGATTGTGGAGCGCAAGTAAACACGCAGGATAGCGAGGACTGGACTGCACTGCATGCAGCCGTCTTGGGCGGCCATGTGGAACTTGTGCGTTTGTTGATCCACAAAGGCGCCGATGTGTACGCTGAAACAATCGAGAGGTACATTCCCTTTCACATCGCGATAGAGAAAGGTGACGAAGACATGATCGCCATATTGGTGGAGGAGATGGCTAAACTGTCGTCGTTTAAGGGAAGCTAAGTAACTAAGAGCAATAAAGGAAATCACTCTATTTGCGAGATTGTATCAAGCAATGAAAAAGCTCTCTTTTTAGATTCATGTAATATCTAGTGACTTAATTTTTGTTGAGCTGTGTTGTAGAGTTTAAATACGCGTTAGAATTTAACTTCGACTAATCTTATCTACCTCGCTTCCGCTATTCTCACTTTCCAAGCATTTCTAAGCTTTAAATGGAGGTGTAAGGCACACGATACTACTGAAGGCTGAATGGGGTATCATGTTGCGCCTCAAGTATGTACAGCGTTATGTTTCAGTTGTAAACGCGAGCCATGAAAATCAGTAATTTTCAGAATTGGTTACGCACCTCATTCAGGCCTACATGATAAAAAAAGCGCTGACGAAGGGCTAACGCTCGAAACGTCTGCTTCGAAACTCTTTACGGTGGCCAATTTACGTTATTTAGTCAGTTGGTAATACTAAATTACCCTGTTATACTCTCCCACCAAGGCAGCGCCACAGTTTCTTTAGAAATTTACCCCATTTATTTGAGTGTCATTTAAAGGTCTTTTCAACGGAAATAACAGAATCTTCAAAGCCTGATTTCCACTGATTTCGTTATCTGGAGCGGCCCAACAGTCTCGAAAAAATTCAAAGAGGTCGACGTCGAGTCTGTGGATGAGTAGGACTGCTATGAGATAACCAAGCAAGACGCGGTTGCAGAAGTGAAATACATGGCTCATTGTGTAGTTATGTTGTTCCAATTTTTAAAAAGCTTAATCCTTCCCTTACCCGGACAACTGAAGCAACCACTATCGTCTGTATAAAATTAATTTTTACCAGAAGCCCATTACTATAAATGGGTTCCTGCTTTTACTTAAGCCTGTTTTCCATATGATCGCCCATAGAGTCCTAATCTCATCTGCGAGTAGGCTCCCGACGGCGCTGCTGATCGAGCATATCGCGGACTTGCCTCAAATTCTACGATAGTCGAAACATAGTCGAAACACAGCCGAACACAGCCGACAAATGTCGGTGCATTTGCAAACGTTATAGAGGCTAGGTGGCGTGCTTTTAGGGCGGTGTCAAAACCGCGTTGTCTAGTAAACAATCACACAAGCGAGCAAGTCACGGTGTTTGAAAACCGCATAACTTTTTTGATAAAGCCAACAACAAAACGGTAAATCAGCAGGTAACTCCTAATCAAATAAGCATTGTTTACGAAAAGTCTCGAGATTCCATTTTCTTACCTTTTTTTTCCTTTTTCAGTTAACATGAGCGTATCAAGGGGTTTTTCGCATACTTGGCGTGACAGCGGTTGTTTCAATTGTTTCCCCTTAGAAATTTTGCGTGGAAAACTGTTGCATTGTTGACCAAAATTGATTCCACTGCGCAGGGCCTACGTTTGACCACTGTGTTCGAGAGCTGATTTGGTGCTGGAGAAGCCCGCGAGATGCTCGTGAGTCTCGTGAAGCAGCACAAATGAGAGCCACCCCGTTTGTTAGTCTAAATCTTCTCGAATATTTGTAAGTATGTATGAAAAATTGAGTAAACGGGAACGACACGAGCGATCAATTGTAAGCCTGCCCTAAGTCAAGAAGCTTAAACTGAAAAACTACTGATGCCGTCATTGGCTTTATTCGAAATATTCTTGTTGAAGTCCCCATTGCTGATTGAAAGAGAATATATTTTCTTTCAACGAAAATTCTCAGTCTTCTTGATCCGTAGTAGTTAACAGATGGCCTCTTTTTCTTTTATTTTGAACCTGAGAAACCGGAATTTTTGTCCAGGAAATCGAACAATTTGATCACTTCTTTTCTTGCTTGTCATTTCCATTTTTCCCCTTTAGCTTCAAAGTTTCGCTATCTTGTGCCCAGAAGGTTCGATTGAAATCCACAGTGATGTCGATCGAAGCCGAGTGGGACAAACGCATCAACATGATCGAATCGGGCGCGCCGCCATTTTGTTTGCGCCCGCATACTTAGAAAGACCCAGCCGAAAAGTCAAATACGTCAGTTGTCCTACTTTTGGCGCATGGTGTTGTGGTGTTAGGAAAGTGGAAAACGGAGAGAGGCCGGGATAGTAAAAAGGCGCTCTCTAATTAAAATTAGCACCATCTGATGATTTCCTTAACTAAATTTACGGGGAAGTCTGAGTGTCCAAAATTACCGTTCCTGTGAAATGTCGTTTCATGAGGACACCGGGTAGGCACATGATGGTAGGTGAACTCTCTTAGTGCTGGGATTCTGAATGCGATAAACCTACCGCTTACTTTATTCTTTCATTTGATCGTTCAGTCTGGGTGAGGGTAGTTAGTCCTGAAAAGGACTGTTGTTAGTCGTGGTGACTTCCTTATCGGAAGTCATCATCAGATTCAAGTGACTTTGATGGTGACTCTAGTGACTGTCTTGACTCCAAAGACGACTTCCGGTAAGGTTCTCCACTACCGACAACAGTCCATCTCAGAACTACCTCACCCGGACGATTAGACTACTCGATCGAATTATTTCCCCAGATTCAAACCATTGTATATTCTTTCAAAAAATCCCTTTTTCAAAACAATCTATAAGAAACTAGCAAAGTAGACAACGCATTATCTTCTCGAGACAATCAACACTTTAATCCTAAGGACCGCTGAGCGCCTCGCGCACAGCAAGGATGATTTTGAAGGAAAAAAAATCCACTGTGAAGACAGACCGATTGAATGAAAATGAAGGTATGAGTCTAGGACACTGCAATTACAAACTTTTCGCTCATTGCTTTAAGGCAGGTGTTTATCAGGACAGAGCAGAATCAACTTAAGCTAACAATTTATTAATTCATGCAAGCGAAGAAACTTCGAGGCCTCTGGGAACATCGAACCCTACGTTTATGACGCAAATAGTTTCTATTCATTACTCCCCTCATGGTATTCAACGCCTGGCTGGATATAGTCACAGCTGTGTAGCGACAAGATCTCCTTCATCAACAAAACAAACTGAGCCAAAACAAACTCTCATCAGCGAAATTATGCCCAAAATAGGTTAATAATTAACATGCTCTGTTGAACCTTACCTTGGGCGCTAGCAGAACACTGGGACGCATTGAGATCCTTACAAAAGGCATCTATTTAGAAAGTTTTGTTAGATTGGCTTACGAATCATAAAATATTTGTTGAGGAAATTTCTAATTGAGCTCTCAACAGAAATTTACAATAGTTTGTGCTTAAATATCGAAGCCCAATATTTGATACCCCCCATCGAGATGACGATGTTTTACGTCAACAAATGATTTATATTTAACAGGTATTATTACCCGGATTTAATTTATGGATACTAAGGTGAGAGCGGAAGCGAGTTTGCATGTTTCGGTGTCGCGCGTGACAAAAACCGCTGGTGTAGCAGCTTATATTTCAGTGGATTAAAACTGATTATCCATTCAGAAGCCATCAACTGTACGTGTCAAAGTTGTCAAGTTATCGTTCTTTTGATCCAATAGTTTCCTTATTAATCGCGAGGGCAATCAGAGTTTTTGGAAGAGGCGAGAGCGTAAATCAGCGAAGATGTCGCTGCCGGAGCTAACGGTCGGCCAGGTGAACTACAACAGCATTGAACTCAAATGGGGAGATTCGGAAAATGATACCGACAACAAGAAGCGAAAATTGTTTCATGTACAGTTGAACAAGGCTCGTGCGCGAAGCGCTTGTCCTGGCGGACCGACGCTCGATCCTCTGACCAACTACCAGGGTTACAGTCAACAGTTTGTTTTCAAAGGCTTGGAGTCTATGACTCAGTACCAATGCCGTTTGCGGATCATGGAGAGCGACAGTGATCGGCATGGAGGCGGATGGAGCGAACCGATAACTGTCTGTACACCGAACGAACCTCCATCCGGAGCCGAGCTGCACAAGGCGGTTTCCAGGCAGGACTTGGAAACCGTTCGTAAAATTCTTAAAGAAAATAGCGCGGTAGTTGAGGTGATGGACAAGTTTGGATTGACTCCACTTATGGTAGCTGCTCAAAAGGGATATACAGGTGAGTCAGATTCAACCATCATCCGACATAAAAACTGGAATTTAGGTTACTCAGTGGGAATTTTTATTAATCTCGTTTTATGCAAATTTTTTTTTGTATCTTACGTACATCGAACTACATATGTAAAGTTGGAGTAAATCCATCTCGCGCTTGAATTTTGTTTGCGTTTTAACGCCGGCTCTCGCGTCGAATCCATTTACACGGGATTACATGTTAAATTTGTTACGAAGTTTCCGCTTTGTGTTTTACGTCGATGCTTTCAAAGGTATTTGCAACCCGACAATGAAAGCTGTACTCTGTAGTACGCCGTGCTTAAACAAAACAATAAAGGTCGTAGATTGCTCTATTGATAAATTGGATCCTTAAATCTCCGAAGAGTCTAGTTAATTAGTTATTTCCATTTTTTTCTTGTGCAACACGAAAACGTTTCCTGGAGTGAAAATCCTTTGATAAGGAAATGAAACCTAAGATACAACAGGATGCTGGGCTTATATTCAAAAGTTTTTCTTGAAATGAAGTTTTGTTTAAAATAATTGATTAGTTTGCCAAGACTATTTTCTTGAAATCCAAACACTTCAAAGCGAATATCTGATTTTCTTAGAAGGGTTTGTATCTGTCAGCTATATCTGTTGTTTCCGGCGTTCAAACATACAAAAAATTCGGTAATTTTATATAAATAAGTTTCCATTCCAAAGATTATTTTTTTTGGGCGACAAAGCTAAATTAAACGCAAAGGAAACTCGTCTACACAACAAAGCTTCCAGCTGTCTTCCTCATTTCATGCAATATAATTTATTTTATTTTATCGCGCGTATTCTTGATATGAGATGGTACGTGTTGATTGTCGATTCAACAGCTACTGCAGAAAATGATTTGTCGTTACTGAAGCCAAGGGACAATTTTAATTCACATTTTTGCTGTCAAAGGACTTTGAAATAATTGAAAAGCAAAAGAAGCATTGCCACAGGGCCCATTACTGACATTAATGCATCAGCTAAGTTGAAATGATTAATATTTGAAATAGTACAACGGGTTTTCTATTCAGCATCCTCGATAATTATGAATGATAATTCTATATAATTTTCATTTGTAAAGCGATGACTACGAGCGAGCGAAGCATATCTCGTTATAACAAAAAGGTGACCGATTTGTTGATCTTAAGAGTTAGTTACCATGGCTTAAGTTTAATACTATCTGATATGCTATTGTGAAATTTTGCTCTGCAAATCAAATCGTGTCAATTTTATTTACTCTAAACTGTACCTATTCATAATTACAGCAACGCACAAGAAACAAAAAAAGATCTTTTTATGATATTATGAGCCTTTCGTTTCTTGTTAGCTTTTGCTTTTAAATTAGCTTTACGTAGTCATGTAAAACAAAATTATCCCTGTTACTCTGTATTTGACGGGTTGCTTTCCGCGTTCGGCCCGTTTTGAATTACAAAAAAAAAGCGAACTCGAAAATGATGCGATTAAGCCATACAGCGCATACAAGCTGATTAGCATGCCGATGCATAATTAAATCGACTAAACACCGTTAACACTTGTGATCAGAGACTATTTGGGTAAGGAATTCTAACTGTTATACTAGCGATTTCTGGCATGAAGCGATCGGTAAAGCCAAATAAACTTTTCGGGAGGCAATAGATTTTAAATTCCTTTGTCGAAAAGCTAAAAACAAACAAACAAATTTGCACTTGCTCCACATAAAATCCTTTGATTCGTTTTTAAAACGGTGTTTGATGATAAATGCAGATATAAGGATGTGTTCTGAAGCAGATAACTGGCCTACATAACCTTGCAGTTATACATTTCCTGATAGCCAAGAATGCACTCCGAGATATCTCTGAATGAAGGAAATTGAGAGCAATGATAGGGAAACGTTATTGCCCCTTCTCTCGACTAGTATCCCTATTTAGCCTGAGCGCTGGGGCTCTCACTTGGGTTTAAAAGCCTTAAAGACATGGTGAAAAATACAGAAAACAGCTAAGGAGCGGATTGAGGCAAGCCTAGACTCAGGCAGGGGCGTGGGGGGAGGGGTTTGGTCGAGACATAGGGAATCCGCATTTGTTTTGTCAGTTTGGATCAACGACGGCTCTCCTTTCGTCGAAATCATGATTTATTCTTATCTTCACCCCAAACGGGAGCCACTCTATAAGTAATTTCTTGTTAATCAAACTTTAACTATATCCTTCGCAACTTTCCTGGCGGTGTCACGTAACACTTTCTCAAAGCTTTGCGTGACATCTCAGAGAGTAGCTTCGGGGGAGACTAACTAACGTTATCTATAATGTGGATGCGGCCTAACACGTTTCAGTTTTACAAAGAACTTATCCGTAAATCAAATTTTATCCTTCTCAGATGTGATGGAAATACTCCTCGAATTTAATGCCGATCCTGAATACCCAAACACCAGCGGCAAGACCTGTCTGATGATCGCCTGTTACGCCGGCCAAGAGGAAGCTGCTAGATTGCTACGTCAGCACGGTGCCTTGTGGGAAACACGTGACAAGAATGGATTAACCGCTGTACACTGGGCGGCAGACGGAGGCCATGATGATCTTCTTTTATGGCTTGTGCGTGATGGAGGCCCGGTTGACATACAAGACAATGTCAATGGCTGGACACCCTTGATGCGAGTTGCGTGCCTCACCGGAAATGATGAAGTCGCAGAAGTTCTCATTGCGAAGGGTGCCGACATCAACAAGATTGACAAATCTGGAAAGACAGTTTTGATGGCGGCCTCTATGAACGGGCATTTTAACCTGGTGCGTTTGCTTGTCGATAAGGGCGCAGATGTGTTTGAAAAGAACAGAGAAGGGAAAACAGCTTTGGAATTCGCCAGATCGATGGACAGGCACAGGATTATTAAATATCTTGAATTCCAGGTGGCAAAGGAAGAAAAACAACGAAAAGCGAAACTCCTGGAAGAGAGACTCAAAGAGAGTCAACAGAAATTGGGCCAAATGCAAATAAACTCTTGAACATAAAGTTTTGGAAACCTCCAATCAGGGCTACTCTTAGGATTATGAGAAGAGACCCTTGAATAGAAAGGTTTCCTTAGTAAAAGGAAGCGGAAACAGTGAAACCTCCATTTAGGGGACATTCTTAGGACTATTAAAAGTGTCCCTTGAATTGAGGAATCCACTCAATGAAGATAGCAGGTTATAACGAGGTTTTTGCTTCCCTTGAATGGAACTCTCCTACATTTAGGTGTTCCAAAGAAAGCTTTTACTTTCGTCTTAAATTATAAAAATTTTTGGAGCTACTGGAAGATAAATGAATGTCTCAGAACATCTTTTTATGTTACAAACCGCTAATATTTGTCTAGAAACGATATGTTCGTCGTCGTTAGCCCTTGCATTCCCATGAGTGACTAAGAGAGAATTTTTTCTTTAAATATCAATACAGTGTCAAGCAGCCAAGTGATGCGTGGAAGGAAAAATATGAATTTGGTATTTTTCTTTGATCCAATTCCAAGTTCTCCGAACAACATCGTAAGGATTGTACGGCAGACAGCAAGGAGAATTACATGAGCTCTTGGGAGTGAAAGGATTAAGGTCGATTTTTATGGCTTTGCAAATTTGTTTTCACCAGCTCGATTTGAGCACTAATAAGACAGCAGGCTCAGCCTGATAAGGCAGTATATGCCTCATGCTTGTAATTGAACAGTGTACTAGGACAGTTAAAGGGACAGTTAAAACGTCATGCCAGTGTAAGTGGACAGAACACGTCGCGTGAGCGCGCTGTTGTCTTGCATTTCGTTGAGTTAACCGTTGATTTTTTATGAAAACGTACAACCGATGTCTAGTTTCTTTCTCAAATTTTGTCATAGTTTGGTTTAATTGGTAACAGGAATTCGTGTCGTCCAATTCTGTCTGTAATCATACTCATGATTAATAAATCGGATTCCCGCTTTGGCGGTAGTCTGATTTTGTCAATCACTCGTATGATTACAGACCGAATTGGACTTCACTTAGTCCTATTACCATTATTAAGCGGTGGAAATTTAAAAATCACTTCATAACTGAAAGCAATCTTATTGCCGGTGTCTGATATTCTTCATTTTTGCGAGGTTGTGCATCAGCAAGTTGCTCAAAGGGGTTCGAGTTTACTTCGTTTAATTAATTCATTGGGTATGATTACATTATGTGCCGTTCACTGTGTCCAATTAGAGGTAAAATAATTAAAGCTTAATTAATGTCGTCAATAATTTATTGTTAATTTATTCTCATTCCCTGAAAAGGAATGAAAAATAAGAAAGGTGCCCATGAAATGAAAAATAATTGCTGCTTATTTTAAAGGCTTTTTAAAATATTTTTGCATTTTACATGTTCTTTCGTGGCGAGATATTAAATGCAGTTTTCATACCCCGGGCTTAAAAACAAGAACAAAAAAAATTGCAAAGGGAATTTAATTGGCTCAACAGCGTTCATTGAAGTGGTAAGGGGCGTATAAACGGGATTAAATCATGTTTGGAAGTTTGCCACAACAGATCCAGTTTACTGAAATACGTCTCGTTAACAGGTTTTATGTAAGCTTTCAAACATTATAATAGATCAAATTCATTTTGTTATTCGCAACAATCAGATTACAATTAAAACGAACGAACTTTAAGAAAAAAGAAACAACGGTATTCAGTCTTTCCCCATGAACTGCATAAAAGAAACAGAAAATACTAAAAATTATTTGATAAATTCCATGTTGCCGTCCGTCTGTTCACTATAAGATCACAGATGACGTCAAAATGTGGTAAGAACAAAAAGAAAAAGGCACCCTTCTGTCGACGCTTTTAATCAGAAGTACCTCTACTAAAGCCATGTTGCCAAGTACTGCTTATATACTCGAGAGAGGGGGGATGTTTTGTGCTTTAGCAAAGCAGTACATAACCACAGCCTCTATTCAGAGTCTAACAGAAAAAAATCAAGATCATTAACAAATTGCACAAATGAAATTACGTGTCCAAGGCTAGTTCCTGGCACACTTTTGTTTTCAACAAAAGAAACAAAAAGTTGCAACTGAGAGGTGATTATCAGTCTGAGCATCGTTAGTTTTTGGAAGGAAACTGGCCTTTGGCTCGCTCTTTGACAACCTCCACATCGACACACTGGAGTTTTCCAAGTAAATCATTTAAATCCCTCTCGAAATCTCTCTCGAGCGTCTCTGATCTTTCCAGCGCACTTGACATCTGTTGTAACTTTCTCATTACTTTGTCGTACACTTTCGACCCATCGGTGCTTTGTTTTCTCAACATCGACTTTTTATGGAACTTTCGTCGGAGACCCATTGCCCTTTCAACAGAAACATTATTTTGAAGCGCCTTCCTTTCGTCGTTCTTGTTCGGGCTTTTCCCAACACCAGTGTCAGTTTTCTCCGCATTCTGGGATTCAGACTTCCTTCGCCGGCGAGCGTATGCCGCATGAAACCGCATCATTTTCACAGCAAACTTTGTTGTGAACTGAGAAAGAAATCTCTTAATTCAGTCGATCAAAAGAATTCTCTCGGGTGTCTTGTTGCTAGAAGGGTTCCAGCTCTCTTCACACGTTCGTTGAGTGTTTTAGCAAATTTGCTCTCAACAATTACTATTTGCTTGTAGGACGTAATGCAAATAAGTTAAAAGCGCAAACACATTTGTTAATGAATAATTCGAGTTCTAAGCTTTAATTTTCCTCGCGGTGGACAAATTGCTCCTAATGAGTTCTGGCGACAAGTAATTAGTAGCTTAAAGTGCTAAAATGTTACACACACTTCAGCAAAAATGATTTTATCGTCGTGCACCAACTGTCTGATTTCTGTTTTACCAGTACTAACTTTTTTTTATTTGTTAATGCGTGATTCGTTAGTCATTCGTATAAATTGTGGAAGGGGGATTTTTGTTTTTTCAATCTTGCTATGGCAACCTCATTAACGGTCGCCGAAGTTAAATGTAAATTTTGAATGGACTGTCGGTAGACCAGGTAAAAAGCTCTTTTTTTAAAGTATCAAAATTCTTGACAAAATTATTTCGCGCTTCTTTGGACAAAGATGAAATTTTTTTATTCTGAATGCTTCTGACATGAGTCAAAAAGGATGCGCACTGAAAATATATGATTTTTATTGCAAATGAGTAAAAAGGCCTTTTGTGGAGCATTTCTTCGAAGGACAAGTCATGTCAAGGGCGCGTGGGTGAGTCCAACCTCACGACGGTTGGCGGTCCAGTGAGCTACTTTCCAGTAATTTACGAGGACGGACGTAACGCCGAGTACTTGAAAGCACTGACACGGAAACAGAATGAAAATCAAAACCTACCCAAACCCGTTTCACTACTCTAGAGATATTTTGTAATTTTCTTTTACATACTTATTATTAGGTATTTGCTTTTTCTACTGAGAGGGAAGAGAAGGCTCTGGAAACGAGATTGGAATTGTAACAATTGTAATCCCTCACAATGCTTTTCATATCGCATGAAAACTCCCGGATGAACTTCACGAGGTTCAAAATCCAACATGGCGGAGCGTGAGATCACAATCAGAGGAAGGCGACTTTCTCAATTGAAAGTTGATGAACTTAAAGTTGAGCTGGAAAAACGCGGCCTCAAGAAAAGTGGAAACAAAGGAGTTCTTATTGAGAGGCTACAGGAGGTAACGGAGAGCTCCCTAACGCGGGAAAAAACCCGTAGATTGTACTATCTCCTTTCCCCGGTTTGTTTGCGTTTGCAGCTGAGCTTTCTGTTCATTTTCAGCTGTTTCTGTCTTCCGATATGAGGGAGTTCTTTTAGACGTACATATTTTAAACAACAAGAGAAGGAAATTTTTGATAATTGATAAATGCATTGTTTACATCAGTGTAACGATGCAATTTCAAAGTCATCGACTATGTGAAGAACATCTCAATTTACACAAAAGTTGTGCCGTAAAAGGCAGATAATCGAGCATAATAATCTGAATGAAATTCAGTGATATCTCGATCCGGGTTATCATGTTAAGGTTAAGCATTGAAATCTTAATTCTTCAATGCAATGTAGTGTCTAAAATTTATTTGCAAGAATTTGGCAGCTACTCGCCATACTACGATAAAATGTAACTTTCCCAAACGCCTAAGTAATTTCACTTTCTACTCGTATTATACTCTCAGCAATGAGAGAAATGTAGATTAACCAGAAACCTTAAGGTGAAAGTTTCTAGCAACTGAAATTTTGTGAGATTATCAGAAAAAGCCCAGTCAAAATCTCCCTTCAAGCCAAGACTGAGAACCAAATAGACCAGCTCTTTTATCAATAACAAGGATTGTAGAATATTTGTCGCAAATATTCTACAATCCTTGTTATTGATAAAAGAGCTGGTCTAAATGACACTACCTTCTTGGCATCATCATATCCAGTTGATTGTATTATCAATACTTTAAACAACTATTGTCAGATCTTAACAAGGTAGTTTGGTATTATCAACTGAGTTAATAGTATAAATTGGTCATTGTCAATAGTTTCAAAGCTGGCATTTTAAGCGTTAGCCCTTCGTCATAAAAAAGAGTTAACACTTGAAACTTCAGCTTCAAAACTCTTAACAGGGGCTAATTTCTCTCCCTCCAATGCAGCACTGTAGTTTCTTTAGAAACTTACCTATCTGCAGCCTGATTTGTCATTCTTTTACTCCAAAGATCTAAATTTAGGTAGTTTCTGTCATATATGTACATTTGAATTAAGATATGAGAAATTTGTGTTAAGTGAAGCAAATATTTCCCAAGTATTTCTTTCTTATCAAGCCCCCAAGGTTAAATTTATAATTTTCCCTCCTAGCTGGTCTGGATTCCTAATTCTCTTTTTCCTCTTTTCATTTCATATTTTAGGCCATTGACAAGGAAATGGAAATGAAGGAAGGGTTTGAGAGTTATCCTGTACCACAACAAGCTCCTGCACGGGTTGGAGAGCCATGGCCTCATCCCATGATGCAGCAACAGCAACAACCTGGTATGCTAGAGAATAAGGCTAACACAATTCTTATGTTTTTGATATGTCCATGTAAAATGTAGAGTTACCCATTCATGCTCTTTCAGCTTCCCTAATTTTGCTTGGGTTATGCCTATTGAGGTAAGCACAAGTGAAAGCACAACAGCTCAAACATTGGCGTTAATGCAAGTACAAACACAAGCACAAGCACAAGGATCAGAGTTTTTCTTTTTCTTGTGCTAATGCTTGTGCTTGTGCTTGTTGACATTAGTTTTCTCTTGGCATGTTTACCTTATGCATGCATTTGTGCTTGGGTCACTTGTGAAAACCAGGCTCAATCTGTCAGTGATTTGGTTATTTAAGTGAACAAGGCCTTTAGTCTTTTAGTCAGAGTTAGCTCTCTTTAACCTTTTATACCCCAACATCAGTATGCATATTCTCCAGATTGTCCTTTATACAGTTCTAAAGGTGCCATCAATGGGAATTCATTTGACAATCAAGAGCATCTCTCCTTGATGATCATTTCCTGTATTCTCGTGACCTTAACCCTTTAACTCCCAAGATCTGATTGTTAATTCTCCACTGTAGCTGCTAGACATTTCCTTGTAAATTAGTTATGAGAACTTGGTGCTATATCAAGATAGCAGCTTCTACCTGATAAGTTTGAATATTCTGATCACCTATTTGCTGAAGAATCTATGGGTATTGTAGGGAGAAGTTTTATGTTAATCACTTCTGGGAGTTAAAGGGTTAATGTTTGATTCAGAGGTGATATTGTAGGAGAAATTAGATTTTAGTCACTCTTAGGGGCCAAAGGTTTAAGTTAGCATTGTTAGGATTCAATGTGAATGTTCTCTTGCAGGAGAGAGGTTTTGCTAATAATTTTAATCCAACATAAGACTGACAATGTTTGCCATTATTTTGGTAGGTGGTTTCCCTGTTCAGCCAATGGGAATTCCACAAGGAATGATAAATCAGCAACAAGGATTGTTAAACCAACCTCATGTTATGATGAACCAGCAGCAGATGATGATGCATCAGCAACAGGTATAGAGGTTCAGTGTTCCCTTTTTACTCTGTATTCTATTATAAAGAATGCTTTCTTCAGGGAATTGGTGATAATTGGTTATTAATATTTAGACAACAAAAAGTGTTTGTTGTTAGGTCATGAACACTTTTTTTACAGTTTTGTGGAATGACTGGATAAGGTGAAACCACTTGGAGTCTTAGTACCTTTTCAGGGGACAAGGGTGTTTTCTGAGGAGGCAACCTTCCTTGTTGGGCAATAATTGTAACTTTTGTAGAAGCAGGGTTCTCATTAGAGGACCTGGGTAAGGGTACCAATATATGCAAGTCTACCTCAATATGGGATGTAAAATATTGTACTTCCAGTGTCACTATTATACTTGGCTGCTCTCATGTGGATGCCCTTGCACTCAGAAATGTAATGAAACCCTTGTTGAAGGGGTTCTCAACAAATTGTTTTCAGAAAACTGTCTTCTCAAGCACTTTGCCTATTCTTGATTTTAGTTTTCTTTCTTCCCCTCAATTTTGTTTTTCATTTTCAGCAAATAACATCACCTGTTCAAGTGAAGGAATTCAGAGAACAGTGGCCTCAAGCCCAAATTCCACCACCCCAAATGTTATATCAACAACCACGGGAACAGCAAGTCTTGAATCAACTACCTCTAATGGCAGACAAGAAACCTTTAACACATGCCTCAAATCATCAAGTTCCTCCGCCTGTTCTTGAACCAGAAGTTGAATCATCAAGCTCATCAGATAACGAGCAAGACTCTGCACAACAGTCCTCAAGTTCATCAAGCCAGGAATCAGATGACCATGAACAGGAACGACCCACATCACTGTTGAACTATAACTATTCCAATGACTCTAGGACTGAGGCGAGGACTGCCCCTGTAGTTCATGAAAGCAAACCCATCACAGTTCAGAATGTCGAGGAACAGTCAAAGGAATCTGCATCTTTGGCTCCAAAAGAAGAGGAGATGAAGAAAGAGGAAGATGTAGCTGCTAATGATAGACCAGAGTTAGGACAAGATGAAAAAGCAGATGTTGAAATGGATGGAGAAAAGACAGTTGCAGAACTAAAGGAGAATGACATTAAGGATGAAGAAAACAAGAAAAAAGTTGTTGATGAAGGTGAAGATGGAAGGCAAAATGAAGTAGTTGGCAAGGAAAAGGAAGGGGAAGTGCCTAGTGAGTCTCTTGAGAATAAAGAACCAGTTTCAACACCATCTCCTGCAGAAGAGAACACTTTTGAAGTTGAGCCAAGTGAAGAGGACAAAGCTGTCGTAGAGGAGCCAAAAGTTCCATCACCACAGGTTTGCACTTACAGTACATTCATATAATTTTGGTTTAGGCTAAATTTCCACTTGTGTCTTGGGTACAGTCTTTGGCATAAGTTAAAGAGAAGTTTCTGTTTGGGAGTAATTAACAGTTGAAGTCCACACATCCAATAGTATGGTTGGGGATAGCATATCAAACCACATAGGTTATGTGTTCTTTTCCTGAACTTCAGCTGGTTACTGAGCCTTCCTAGTTCAGTGTGAAACTAGCATGTTAGCAGGTTAAGTTTGGCATTTTAGGTGATTATATGAAGGTTTTGGAAGATAATTGAAACATTGAGTTTTAGAGAATCTTTTTGTTTATTACTGGATACATTTTATTGATCATTCATCACATAAATTACACAAAAATTACTAAAAGAACATTACATGTGCATCAAATGAAATAACAAATGTTTAAAAGGATTTTAAAAAATCTTTAGGTTGACTATTCAAGAACTTGCCAAATGCAGATTTAAATTAGGGACATAACTGCATATTTGGAATTGCCTAGAATTCTACCAAAAAAATAATTTCGTAAGAAAATGTGGCACAATCCCACCTGCTGCAGGTGTACATATACATGTACAGCTGGAAATTATATTTGCAAGCCATTTGCATCTTAATTATTGCACATGTACATGTTCATAAATTGAATACATGTGGTTTCCTTGAATATCCAGTTAATTTTACTGCATTTTTCTTTCTATAGAAGCCTAGCTCTCCAGTTGTTACTAAGAAAAGAAAAATAAACATACCAAGTAAGTTTCCTTGTGTGTGATGTTCCTATTACATTGTCTGTTTGTAGAATTTTTGTATCTGATTGTCTGAATTTTTTTAAGGAACATCTCTGCCAACCACTCCTACGTCTGAGGGTCAACCAGGATCAAGGAAAAGGAGATGGGGATCATCCTCATCAAGCAAGAAAACGTCTTTGTCCATTAGCACTGATTCACTGAAGGTATTTTGCAATCATTTTACAGGGTACAAGGTAGATTTTACTGTTTGACTCAAGAACTATAGATCACATGTAACCCTTAAACATCCATGAGGGAACTAGACAGAATTTCGATTTTGATAAAATTTCAGCAAACAACTGATGAGAATAAAGAAAATATCAATTAGGAGATTTTTAGTTGATCCTATGCCAAATTATCCAAACTAACATTACTAGAATTGTATGGTAGACAGGGAGTGAAAGTTTTATGAAGGGACACAAAGACATTCTCTTCTTAGATAAGAAGCTTTAGGCATCTGTTATTGCTACTAAGAGAGAAGCTTTGATCTACTATTGAGGTTTTTAGAGCAAAAACAAATGATCCTAATGGGAGCCAGTCAGTTACTTTCCAGTGGATGGTTTACTATTGAGGTTTTTAGAGCAAAGCCACAAAAAAAGATTATTCTGTGAACATCACCTATGCTGCCAGGGTTTGAGCATCATGGCAGTGCTTTTATTCAGTGATTTATTGAGAGATGTTCCCTATTTGTACAGGATTTAATTCCAGGAGTGCAAGTGCACAGTACCCCTGCCTTGGAAGCAGTCATGGACATCAGAGGTGATGATAATGATGAGGAAGATGATGAGCCAGAAGAAAAGAGAAAGATTGAACAGAAAACCGACGAGGAGAAGGAAGAATTATCGGCAGAAACAATGCCTGAAGTGAAAGATGAGGGAAGGAGAAGAAAAGACAGGATCGTGAAGGTTGAAGAGAAGAAAACAATCAAGCTTCAAAGAAAGCTGGTGGTAGTGGAAACTGAACCTGATACATTGAAAATGGAGGTTGAGGAAGGTATTCATATGTTTGTGTATATCTGGTTAGGTTATTGTTATCACCATCTACCTTCACTTATGTTAAGAATGTTTTATTGTTTGATATTCCTAAGCTATAGTGAGGATAGCTAATGTTTGAACGAGTGCAGCATGGCAACTTTTGAATGACCTTGACTTTAGTACAGGCTTATTATTCTACTAAGCAAGACCACCATGAGGACTTGTGAGGCAAATTGATCAAATTTTTTGTTACTCTTGTCTGAATCTTTTATCTTTTGTTGTTTTTATGATTTTATCTGAAACAGAAAAAAATAGGGATCAAACTGGTTTGAGCAACATCTTATGTACAAATAAACTATGTTGCTTGTTTTGTGTCCCTTTGCTAGGGGGAAATGAGGTTTATTATTTCCTAGTCAATATTATTGTTCAAGGCCATTTGAAAGCTGCCACTGCACACGGTTTGCATTTCTCTGAGGAACTCTGTTTGTCTGTCTAACCTTTCTGCACACAGCAGCAGTTACAAGTAGAAAGTGTCCTAAAAAGTCAGCCTTGCACTCTGTCCCTTTGTACATGATGAACCCTTTTCTGTGGCATGCGGTGCGGGAGGTTTTCTTTGGGGTCATTCCAGCTGGGTGCTCTGAGTTGAAAAAAATAAAAACAAAGGAAGCAACTTCAATAATCAAGTGATTAAACCATGGCCACAGACAAAATAGATGGCCATGAACTGAGTGATTTACAGTATGTGATCACATATCATGATGTGTTGCTGATAAACACAACTCTTGAACCATTTGAAATGAAAAAAAGATGAGATGTAACACTTGAAACAAGGCATGTGTGAGGGATGCCTTACAGCTGACTACAAAGACCACCATGCCGTGTGATCCATCAGAAATGTACACAAACAACTGTACCTCCACGGAGAAAACTGCCTCCACAGTTTGTTGGGGCAATTACATGTACTGTACCTAAAATTGAAAAAAAATGGAACTCTGCATTGTAGGAAGCTATCTGCATTTCTGGTGTGTGGTGTGATACACAATACCATCGTTATGTACTCTTCCCCTGACAATTGAATACATTGGAGTTTGCAGCTGTAGAGCACATCATGGAGGAAGCTGTAAAATAAGACTGCCTTCTGAAAGCTTTTCAACATGTGTAATGCCCCAGTACTTGTTCTTTATACAACAGCAAGAGGTTGCACCAAGTAAACCAATGAAACATTGCTACTGGCATTGCACAATTTTTGGGGGTAAATTTGGACAAAAAAAGACTAGTTGTTACCACATCATACTTCAAAAGTCACAAGGACAAAAGAGATCATCTTGCTCAACTAAATGATGATTGTGTGAGATTATTGACTCTTTGGCTATTAACTTTGACATAAATCAGTGAAGAGCTCGCATCAAATGTCATTGGAGATTAAAGTAGTTACCTTTCACTTCTACTACTTCTACTCTTGTGGATGGTGGACGTGATGCCTATCAAAAAGGAACTGTCAATGGTTGCATAGCGAAGACAAGAGACTGCAGCCCTTCTCAGCAGAAGGAAAAGGAGAGGCTGTGTGAAAATTCCAAGCTTCATACCACATGAAAACTCATCATCAAGAACTCTAGCTAGCCAAGCAATGAACACAGCAGTGGTATGGTGGTACATTGCACAGGAAGCAAAACTACAAATTTATGCAGATGGGATTTTCAACCGAAAAAGTTTGTATGGCAAATTTGAACATTCCTGTCTTGTCAGGAAGTAGATTGCCCAACCTTTCTACATCTAGTCGTGAACTCTGTTGGGTTAAAAGGAAAGCACTGAAAGCTGTGCACTAACTTAAATCCCAGTTACAGACAGAAAGCAATCGCTATTTCTGAAGGTGGAAAGATCATTTGCTCAGTTTATGCTGTATCCGATGGGTTGATTCTGGGACTTGCTGTATCAGTGAGGAGGTTGAATGTACTCAATGATGCTCTCAAGTTCCTCTGTGGCTGTGCGTACCCCCACCAATACTGTGTTTCAGCCGCAAACCATTTTACCAGCTCTTGTAGAGGAGTATTTTCCAAATAATTTTTATTTTAGAGGTTAATGGAATTTTCAAGTATTTTTCTTGTTTGGTGACACAAACTTTAGTCTGTAAATGTGAAAACAAGGGCAGTTTCACCCAAGGTTTATTGAATTTTTCTTTTCCTACGTTTTAAACCCAAATTTGAGGTCAGTCACTTAAACAAGAAAAAGCAATTGAAGGGTTTTATGTTGTAGTTGATAGACCAGAGTTTTTCCATGCAATAAAATGCTTGTGCTTATTTCTGAATGGAACCAATTTTGTTCTTTACTAAGAAACAATGCACCCTGCTAGGCAAAGGTAGAATATCAGAGTTGTTATAATGTTGGTGGCACAATGCACCAAGAATTAGTAACATGCATTTAAATTGGGTTTTGCAATTGTAGATTATCCTTTTTTCTACAGGAAAGATGAGTGAAATTAACTTTAAAAAATTGCAAACAAATTAAGAATATATTTTTGTCTGGTATAATACAGAGTACTTGAATAGGAAATTTTCTCTCTTTTTTCCCTCGCGTACACTGTTACAACAGAGGATTGCAATTAACTGAATATTCCCTCGTTCCCCGCATATAAATTGACCTAGTCAAAACTTCAAACGAGAATTATCAAAGAAGAATTTTTACAAAATGTTCGTTTCCAACAGGAATTTGTTCATAAGCATAACAGTGGAACAACTCTGGAGAAATATGCTTAAAATGCCGAAATGTATTTATCTTCTGTCGAGACTATTTACGTTAGAGTAGAACTTGTTTTAGTATTTATTTGTTGGTTAATGTTCGATACCGCTGACTGTTTTTCTATTTTACTATTAGAGCCTTCAGAGAACAAACTGGAAGATAATCCATATCCGAGGCGGTTGTCAGCCCCAGTCCAAGAGGAATCCCCAATACCAGCAGGCAAACGCTCCCCGTCACCCGCTAAAAATCCCCCGTGTAAGACACTGCATGTCAAGAACCTCGTACGACCTTTCACACTGAACCAGCTCAAGGACCTGCTCGGCAAACATGGAACCTTGGTGCAGGATGGATTTTGGATCGACAGGATAAAGTCACATTGCTACGTTGTGGTAAGAAAGAATAGCACTTGCAACTAGAGCGCTTTCCGCTTGAGTGTCGTAAAACCGAGACCAAAGTAATCACAACAACCAATCACAAGAAACGGAAATACCTTTAAGAGCCAATGAGAACTCAGTGTAAAAATAAACTACTTAAAGCGCGGGAAAACGCGGGCGACCAAGTCGTGATTGGTTTTTATCTTGCATCTGATTGGCTGAGAGGATGGCGCGAGTTTCCTGGACCAATCACATAAAGAAGCTTCAATTTATGGATTCAATAGGGCTTCCAAGGGGATGGTAGTAGCATTAACTAGCAATTTTCACATGGTTATTGTTAAGATTGCAGTAGTTTTGCTTAACTATGATTGATCTAAAAATCACGCGTCGCCTTCTCAATCGATCCGATCCAGTATTAAAGACGAATCCCTCCATGTTCTCCGCGTTTTCCCCTCATCAGGCAGCTGACTTGTGTTTACTTGGAGTTCGTATTGGCTCATTGTGAAAGTTTGTGCCGCTCTCATCAGTCGCCTAGGTTACTTTAGTTTTGGTGTTTCGGCACAATCGAAATAGGTGGAGTTATGTCCGTTGATAAAATCCGTCCCCTGTGGAGATTTTTGAGATCTTTAGCAACTCCATGTTTATTAGTTGAGGTTAATTTGTTTCTCCCGGATTCTGTTTCCAACAGTACACTGATGAGGATGATGCAGTGGCCAGCAGACAAGCCCTACATGGCATCAAGTGGCCAGCAACAAGTCCGAAAATCCTTGATGTTGATTACGCTGATGATGATGAGGTTGGTGTGGCTGTGACTGTCTCTCGGCTAAAGGTTTCAGCTGTTCGGCCTGAGTAGTATTCAGTTTAAAAGTGAACATTATTTTTTAGTTAAGTCTAACCCTTGGTGCTGCATTGCCTCACTTGCAACGAAACATTTCAAAAATTAAATTGATCTTTACTTAACAAATAGAGAAGCCTTGACTGTGCTCTGTTCTGTTGTAAAGCACGCAGGAAGCGGCTAGAGCACGAAAGAAGTGTAGGGGGAAACACGAGACGTAGAACAGAGCACAGTCAAGGCTTCTCTATTTGTTTTATAATAAAGAATCCGTTAAATTCCCCAAGAATTACTTTCAATTTTCAAAACAAATCTTATTTCCAAAGCGAACAATAGTGTCGTCAGCATGCTCTATACTCTCATAAAGCACGCTACAATAAGCCAATCAGAATCCCTGTTAGAATGGTTCAAATAATCTGATGGCTTTACAGGACTAAAGCTGTCAAAAATGTCAAACCGTCAAAGTTTATATTCTGCAATAGTTTACAAACTAAAATAGTTCGGCATGTCAAATTTAAACACTTTTGCCTGAATTTTTTTAGTTTCTAATACAGAATCTGAAAGTGAAATGTTCAGTGAAATTCGGCCCAATCGTGGCTCACAAAAATACGCAAGTTATTTCACATGACAAGTAGAAAACAAACTGTTCAAGGCGAGTGTTTTATGAATGAACGACAGCCGAATTCACCAGAACATGAAGATCACTCGGAATGACAGCGCCGTAAAACTCGACTGTAGTGACTGATGTGGCCTTCCACTCAACGCATCGGAAAGGTTATCAGAGCAAGCTCTTATTTTTTCCCTCGAAGGGTAGTCGATTTAGTTCCAGAGGCTTGCTCCACTGCGATGACCAAAGATCGCCATGATGAGCTAGCCGCGATAGACCTCAGCATGATTGCAGTCGCTCTGACACCGTCATGATTAGTATGAATTTTAACAGTTATGCCAGGTTATATTTTTCATCATTCCTTTTTTTTTTCTGTTTTGTTTTTGAACACGAAACTTTATATACTATACAAGTGTTAGCTGTGTTTGATTTTTATTACCGTACGTAAACTTGCAATCTAACTGAGCGTGAAAACCTTTAAAACTCGGACTGTGCATCTTGTTTTATCTTTAAGGATTTTTGTCTCTGCTCACGTTACAGTAACGTAAATTACTGCGCCTAGCATTTTTGCAAACCTTTGCTCGCTTGTTCCGAAATTTCACTTTCAATCAACGAAAGAAAAGCTAGAAAGAAGTCCCGGAAAAGGTCGGACATAGTACAATTTGGCAGATGGCGTGACAGCTTTAGCGCAGTTCTATGTTCTATACTCTCATAGAGCACGCTCTTTTAACCAATGACAGCAAGCGTTATATCCGAACTTTATTGTAAATACTGAATAGATCGGAAGAAATCGATTCGGACTTATTTCCATTTTCGCAAGTCTACTCGGCGCGAAGCTTCTGCAGGGTGAAGCAATCACCCACCTTGACGGTGATTATTAGAGTCAGCTGTGGAGCGAAAGCCTTTGACAGAATCTTCCGTTACGACGTTTGGCTACATGAGTATTAAGCTTTCAACCACTCAGTTAGACGTTTAAATTCGTACCTAAGTATGTGAAATTGATTTTTTTTGTGTTTGTTTTTGTTATTTTTACAGATGGCAAGAGATACAGATGGTCTTCTCGGTCGCGAGAAGGAAAAAGAACGAGAACTGAATGCGGAGAAAGATGAAATAAAAGAACGTGCAGGTACTTGAAGTGTAAAATTACACCGTGTACAGTGATTGTCCAGTTCATTGGTGCTTGACATCGAATAAAGTTGTTCTCGTAGTTATATAAGAGATCGTGATTTTGAAGCCGCCAATCCGTTTCAATTTGCTACAAAATGCAGCTCAAAGAATGTTATTCGTCCTGTGACCAGTGTGGCACTAGGGGAAAAACATCTGATTCCCCCACAGTGAAGCTCGATACATGAGGTGAACTTAAATGGCTGATCGCGTTTACTCTATTTAGTTGAAGAAGAAAAACCAATGGTAACAGAAGAAAAAGAAGAGGAAGAAGAAGATCAAAAGAACGCTGGTAACCTGCTAGATAACCTTTTCAAAAAAACCAAAACTATTCCCTGCTTGTACTGGTTGCCGCTCACCGATGAACAGGTTTGTCTGTCTCAGTATCAGCCCTGCATGCTTCACTGTTGCATTTCATTGGCCTCACTCTCCTTTTCTGTTTTCGTCCGCGCTTGCGACGAAAAGTAAGAATGAACCACTTAAACGGTATTCGTTAGTTTTGGTTAATTGACCCTTGTGACATAATCAGTTCCTTATGTGAAGCCCTTGCAGTGAGCTTTGCCTCGAATCGACTTTGGCCAGTTGAGCCATTATCAAAGTGCACTTAACAGAGGGACAAATTATAGATTTTTTAAGAAGAACAGTCTGCATACGATGGCCTCTCTGGGCATTAATTGCCCTTTTCAATTGAGAACTGACATTTTATGGTATAAGATGCAAAAGGTCAAACATCCGCTAATTGAGCTTTGAAGAAATCTCTCGACTTTATTTTGCATGCCGCAATGGGAACCTTGATCGCCTTTAAGGATCCAATTCGATGTTACAGATTTGAAAACGTGTGACCCTTCAGGTATTTCTCTAGTCATCGCCACGTGAAAATGAGTAAATTAAAGATGATTATTTTTTCGTAGGATCTAGTTGGATTTTGTATTGTTTCTTACTGGACGATTTCACCGCAGCGTTTATTCTACAGTTACACCGAGAATATGACGAAAACCTTTTTACTCGTCCTTGTTTTTAATTTTATGCAGATCGCGACGAGAGAACGGGAAAGAGAGGAAAGACGGAAAGCTAGACAGGATGAAAGAGACAAAGAGGAACAAGAACGTAAAGAGAGACAACAACAGCGAGAGAAAGAGCGGGAATTGGAGCGAGAGAAAGAGAAACGAGAACGGGAAACTACCGAGAAACAGCGCTCTCGATCGCCGAGAAACCGACGAAGAGAACGAAGCAAAAGCCGAAGTAGAAGTCGGGGACCAAGACGGCGATGAGTTGACATTCCGATTTATTAGACTTCCGTTGTAATACTCAGTTTTATGTTGGTTTTGTGTTTGACTTGTTTAAGGGGTGACTTTATGTCTCTCTTTAGAAACTAACCGTTAGATTGATTTCTCTTGGCGCATCAATACTTAAGCAAGGCCTGTTTTGGTAGCGACTGTTTGTCCATTCCAATATCAAGCAACTATGGCGAAACTGCTCCTTCTATTCGATCAACTATTGACACATACTTTTTACGGAACTTAGTGATTGTCGATTCATTCTACCATTTTAGCCACTTAACCGAAGTTTCATCCTTCTTCAAAAATACCATTTATTTTTTAACGGTTTTAGGACAAATTTGCCAAAATTTCTGTCCCTTTTTTCAGAAATTTGTCACAAGATTTCGTGATATCATAGACAGGTTCAACGCTTTCCGTTTTAAAGTACTCATACACATTGAATTATTTCTGTAGATGTTTTCTGCTCACGGGTCATAGTCGGTAATGGGAGCAGTGCTTCCTGGCGTTTGTGGCTGGTCATACACCTTATCTCATGGTCAGAAAGAAAATTAGAAGTTTTGCACTGACTTGCTTTGTTGTGTTTATTTTGTTTTTGCAACACCTTCTAGTTCCCGGGAACTAAGTGATATTACTACCTTCTTGTTAAGCAACGAAAAGTACTTTGCTCTTCGTTTGTAAGATATTAAGTGAGATTTATGGAAAATCTTGTGAATAAACGAAACTGTGAATATTAAGACTCTTTTTATTCCTAGCCACGACTACTGGAGGACTCTGAAATTCGTTTTACTGAGTATGCATGTCTCAGAGATTTTCATCCGCCGGAAAAACTACCCCTAATTGTCTCATTTGTTTGTAGATGTGAATATTTAAGCCTGGGAGATGTGTTCTTTGTTCTGGAGCTGTGATTTTAACTGAAGAGGGTGATTCTGTCGTCATCATCAGATTTAGGACGAAAAATGATTAAAAGTGAGTTTTAATTTTCTGAAATTTTATGAAGAAACTACCTAGGTTGACAAAATTCTATGGAAAAGAAACTCTTTTTGGAAACGTGATCATCCTCAAGTAGACTATGAGGTCGAGATTTGTATCACTCTTAGAAATCGAGAGCGTACAATCGAGTTGTTTTAGTCAAAGTGTACACAATATTCGTCCGAAACTTGACAACCAGGCAGGCTCATGTTTTTGACTCATTCAGTCGACAACTGACACTGTTAAATGACTGTAAACATATGAAAATCATAAATGTGAACTGCGGATAGAGACGTGAACATGAAAGCGATCTTCACAAAAACGAACACTATCTGAGCGGTAGCTAAAAGAAGGCCTGAAAAAAATTTAGGTCTGTACGGGATTAAAACCCATGACCTGTGCAATACCAGTGCAGCGTTGGTTGTTGGTTCCAAATAGACCCGTAAAGTAATGAATAAATGACTGTGAATATATATATGAAAATCAAGTATGTGAACTGCGGACGAAGACTTGAGTATGATCGCTTTCACGTTCATGACATCGTTATGTTACCCCCTTTACTCAAATATGTTTTACGGAGTAAGTAGCGTGTAGCTGGGCCAACCAGCATTTGTGATAATCATACTAATTACAGATAACAAATGGTATAAATGGGAAGAGCGCTCCATCACGAATGGTGTATGATCTGATATGCTACCTTACTCGCTCCGAGAAAAATAGTGAGTCATGTGAGTAACTTGGCTGTGTATTCCCACGTGTGTCATCATTCATTAACACAAAAAACATATGTGAGCCTGTCTTGTTCTGAAGCTTTGAACAATAAGTAGATTTCTAACAACTGGATATGTACCGCTAGATTTCCATGCCTGATGATTGATTCAGGTCTCGCCCTCATTGACTATTACGCGATAGGAATCTCGAGTTCATGATCTATTAGTGAAATATACAATCATCTAAGTACATCGGTTAAAGTATCAGTAATCATTTGATGACAAGATAAGCAGTAAATAACCTCCGTTGGCCTGTCCAAAAAAAAAAGGCACAAAGAACACACATCAAAAACCAAAGCCGTATGTCTACCTTGTGTCAGTAACCTATTCAGTTTCACTGCCATAAACAGAGATGGCGGAGTTCTAGTATTCGTTCCGCTTGAAGTTCTTTGCAGTAGCACTTGTATCAAGCGGCACCGTATTAAGCGGTCGCTTGCACTAGCGGTTAATTGCCAAAGTCCTAAAATTCCTTCCCCTCAAACACTGTATTTTCCATCTCTGTTAAGCGGTCATCCCTATTAATCGGTCGTGGTCACCCTCAACTGAGTCTCAAGGGCTTGTTTCTTTTGTCTTTCCGGCTGTATTAGACGGTCACCTAAGGCGGAACCACTCAGATAAAACTAAGAACGAGAGTTTAAGTAAATCTATTATCCCAATTATGACATAAAATGACGTATTTTACCGTTTTTTGCAACACCCCTTTTCCCTGAAACCTGCATTCAACGGTTATAATCGCCATTTCCCCTGGGTGACCGCTTAATAGAGGTCCGACTGTATTTGGTTTTTCTCTATCTATCCGACTCTACCCTACATCTCTGCAGGTACAGAAGCAGATGAATATGCTTACTCGTTTATTCTTCACGGGTTATTATATCACTACGACTGAAAGGAGTAAAAGGCTATCAGCGTAGATGTATTTTGCTCCTAATGAAAAAAATAAGAGAGTGACCGAGTAAACCACTGTAGAGAAGTAACTCTGAGGTCAAATCAAGTCAGTTTTGACAGAGTGGCTGGTATAGCTTATTCCAGTCCCAATTAGAATAGGTGATCGAAAAAAATGGTCGGCGTAAAACAAAAACAATAACAAAAAATCATAAGTGCAGGCGGGTCCGTGAGCGGGTCCTCGCCTCACCTGAAGTCGAATGGGTTACTGTACAAAATATACAGCTGCATCATGTTAGTACTACGCGCTCCACTCTTTTTTATACATATTTTATATATAATTTCTGTATATTTGTTGTTAACGCACATGTCAAATCACGGTATGGACAATTTCAGTTTTTTTGGTAGCAAATTCATATCTTAACCTCGATATTTCTGGGTAAGACACTGAAACTCAGTTATCGATCAACATTTTTACTGATAAAATTTTTGCACAAAAATGGAATATCGATACTTAGAATTGGACATAGTTGGTAAACAAGCCAAATTCTGGAGGAGCTGAATTATAAAGAAAGTAGAGCTTCGCTAGCGTGATTTTTCATCTTGTTTTCGTCATGAATTGATGCATCGTAATGAAGAATCGCAGAACATGTATGTGCCATGTGTCTATGAAAGATCATTACTGATATCAAAATGGCGCCGACTAATTAATCACTGGATACTCTATGTTTGTCAATTGTTTGACTGATAAATCGCCATCATGTCATAACAACTGGTCGATTTAGGGATCTAAATAATCGTAACATGATGATGTCTTGTCAATTTATGACATGCAAGGACGAACAGCTTCATCACTTCTTTTGTTTGAGGTCACATTGCGTGTAAACCTTGAAGTATCTAAATTCATCGCGTGACCTAGCGGAACGGCTCAAATTTGTTTATATGGCGAGCAAAACATTTCAAATCAAGCCGGTCCGACTGAAACCGCAAAAATATTAAAGAATCGGGGCGATTGATTAATTAGGAAGGTCAAAGACAACAGGGTTTCGCCGCTGTTCTGGGTCACTCAGTGACTAAAATTAAAAGACAAAACAAACATACTATTGAACCTTGGAATGTACAAAGTAACGGGCTCGTGATGAGGGATAAGGTCACCCGTGCGCAAATGGCTTCCGTAGCGAAACGACCATTTTCGTTTAGCCGGAAAAGCCTTCGTGATTCTATGTATGTTTTACTCTTACTGTTGATAACCAGGCAACATGAACTACAAGAAAAAAGGGACAGCAGAGAGCATAGCATTTCCTGTTTCTCTTTAGTGATCTTTGGCAACGCCAAAACGGCTGAACTCTGAAAAGCCCTCTTCTACCGCAAAATTGTTTTCTACTTCGCTCCCATAGGTTACCTTCACCGGCGCGTATCCAACCGGAAGCTTAAGTATAAACTTGTAAAGTGGTTTTTAAAAAGACTGGAATGTTCGGCTGAATTAAAAATATGCGTTTAAAACGGACTTGATGCACGTTCAGCAATGTAGTCAAAGATCTTAATGACGGCTAAATAAAAACTGACCAATTGACAATAAGAAATATTTCGTTCTTTATTAAAGATTATTTTTAGTTCCTTTCCCACAGTACTTGGCACAGTAGACTTCCCCGGCTGGAGTGTTTTGATTTGAAAGGAATAACTATTATGTAAGTTTCCATAAGTCATCAGACGGAGCTTTCAGTCCTATTGTTTACGTATCAAACAGGAAAACCGGACTCAAAACCAAAACAAAATTATAAATTTACGAGACAGACTTTGCCCCCGGTAAGTTTTACACCCTCAATCCGTTCGGCAGAGAGATATTGAATAAGTTTTTGAAGCATCAAATCGCAGGAAATAATGGTTAAAAGAGTAAAACGTTTCAGCTGGGCTGTTTTGTCGAAATTTTTTTTAAAAAGATGCTATTGTTTCGGGTGGGAGGAAACGGCCAAAGCGCTGATTGCTTAATCGTTAACGTCATTCCATGGGGAATCAAGTATTTTTATACATTTGTTATCGCTCTCTAAAAACTTCTCACGTCGATGTTGATTGAGTTTTTCTGATTTACACGTAATCGTCGTGGTTTTCGCGCATTTTTTGTTCGAACTTAGCTTACTCTCTCATGTGACAAAAAATCAACCAATCAGAAACGTGCGACGGTCTTCAAACAAACAACTTCGACAAACAGCATGGTAGTGGATAAAGAATAGTTGAAGTGGAAAGTTCCTTGTTTTTCACAATTTTTCTCAGAATTGCTTTGTTTTTCTTGATGAGGGGGAATGCACGGAGAATGTGAGGGTACATGTATTTAGCTTAGCCCAGCTGAGCGAAGATGTAATTTACATGTATGGGACAACTGGTCTTAACACACAGATCTGTACAGGGTAATGTTACGTGTAATGGTGGTTGTTTATTTCAGCTGATTTAGCCAAAAATAATGGAAAGAAACGTTTTAAACCTCGGCTCCGTGTATGGAGTGCACTGTTGTAAAGCAATAAATGGACAATGTATTCTCTGAGGAGACGTTTAAGTCAGAGATGGCATCGAACAGACAACGAGGCCGCGGTCGCCGAATCTTGTCAGAATGAGAATGTCGAAGAAGCCTCGCTCGCTTCGCAGGCAACTGCGCTTTTACCCCAAACAGAAAGTACTAGTCGAGCGGTGGAGGACTACAGTACAGAGGAGCTACACTTTATAGTAGACTATGTCGGCTCTGCACAGATATCTGAGGCGAAATCTGTGACACGAATGATGGAAACCTTAAAGAGGATTAAAAAACAACAGATACGAAGTATCCGAGTTGATTTCATAATACGGGACGGGATTCTTTTAGTATCTAGCATGGATTCTAAATCCTTAATCCTTACAGCACCGCTTTATGCTATCGCGTTGTGTGTGCAAGAGCAGCTTCGGGGATTCGATAGTACTTTTGGCTTGAATATCACGCGAAAGAAAACTCATATGTGTCACGTTTTTCAAGCAGGATCACAACTGGAGGTAAGTTGAAGACAAGACTGTCAATATATTGAAGTTGTTTACATCAGCTAGTAGAGTGCTGTATTTTGATTTCTCCCCGCGAAAGTATTTAACTGTGCTATTTTGAGATTCTTTTACGTTTTTGTTAGAAAACGAAAGGAATTCAATCGGTGAATAACAGCTGTATTTGTATGAGTTTTATTTAGTGGAATGCTCTCAATCGCCTTTCTTCCTAACGGCAAGCAAGGTAAAAGAAACACGCGTCTGAGAACCATAGGAATGTCTTCTTTTAAAGTGAAAGCGTAGAAATCTCGAATATTCAGGGCTTTGATATATCCTTGAGACGAATATGTCGGCTTTATTTATGTATTGTAAAGGGAAAGGCTAAAAACCCGCCTCTTTAAAATCACCATATAAGTTCTTGTTTGTCACGCTACGAATTAATGCAAACATACGTTTATTTAATTTTAAAAAATTTTCCATTTTCGCGGAACAACAAGGAGATGGAGCGACATGTTTTTCAGTTATCACAGCGCAGTATTTTTCGTTCTGAAGATTTTACAGATGATTAAAATTGGTCAATTTCTCTGTTATTTTTCTCAATGGTAATTGATTACAAAGAGTATGTTACATTTTAAATCCGCGCGATTCTACCCTAAGGCTTTTCATGAATCGTTGTTTACGGAATTCTGTCATCGGGCGATCGAATTTTCGCCAGATTGTAGCGTTTAGTATTCTTTTCTTGTCTGAAACCTAAAAATGCTTCTTTTTTGTTTCATATATGGAGCCTCAGGCAGAGAAAATTTGGGAGTATTGAACTAAGTTATTATATTTCAACTTGTTTTCGTACTTTTATTTGGCTTTCGGGCTGTTTATGCTAATAATGTACGTAGATGTTATTCTGCTTCTTCATTCAGCACGGAAAACACCACTTTCGTTTCGTAATCCCTTTCAGACCTTTTTTACAGTCATTCTTTAGGGTATTAAGTAAAGTGGCTTTCTGTGTTCTAGTTTAGTTTCAATTTGTTCAATAAAATGTTACTAAAAATACTAAGAATATTTTGGCTCTGGCAATGAGCGATTTCATCCAATTTAAACCAGAAAACGATGGACTTAAGGGTGATAGCCGGTTATTCTATAAGAAAGATTTTGCTATTATATCTTTATTCTAGACAAATGAATTTATTTCATTTATAAAGCCAGAGAAAGGGTTAAGCCTGATTGCAAGCACAGCAACCTTTTTTCAAAATTATGTAAGAGAGCCCTGTGGGATCCAAGCTTTTTTCATTTTTTTGTCATTATTTACTTTGTACAGGCTTTTGAAAAGAGCTCAATTTCCCTTTAAAATGTCTAATTTTGGCTAGTTTGATGATTGAACATAACATCACCCATGTTATGTAACTCGACACAGACATGATCTCCCTGCATCTGACCTGTTACATAACATAAATCAGATGTTATGACTAACAGAGAGCCATGAATTCTTCCAGTGACAAAAATCACTGATTGATAAGGCATTCCTTTGCCCTAATTGAAACATTTTAAACATACTTGGAAAAATGGAGTTATTTTTTGTTTTTCAGTTCAAAAAAATAAAGAGATACAATCTTGTTTCAAACTTGTTCACTTTTCATTCACTGATATTTGTTAATAACTGTTTTTGACCTTTTTTGCAATCCTGTGCGGATGAAGTTTCACTCCATGTTTATTGTTCTCATGAATGACGCAGAATATTATCAGTTTGAGGAGATCTTTCGTTCTAGTGTCACTTGTATTGTTCTTGTATTGTCCTTGTTTTTTGTCCAGCATTGTTTATCATGTAAAAGTATAGGGCAGCTTAGGTTTCAGATTGTCTGAGCATTAATTAGTTAGTTTATATCAAAATTTAAAAAGTTTAGCAAACTGGTCCAATTTGAATTTTGTTCCACTTGATCGGGAAGAAACCAGAATTCTAGTTTGCCATCTTAACATTACATTGAAATGTGACTTTTTTCCGGGGCTTTTCCTAGTTGGCAAGTAAACAATATTGCTTTCTCAGCGAAAAATCTGCTAAGGGCAGACAAGGGAATAATTTATGCTGGATTCTCTATTTATAAACCTTTTTTTTTTTTTCATTTTGTATCTTTGGAACTGGTGGAGCTGTTAAAAGCATGGTATTTTAACAGCCTTTAGCTTTAGGATAATTGTCCGATATAATCACTCCAATTTCAATCCTTCAGTTTTAGTATGGTCATGTTGACCATGTATTATTATTATGAAATGTTCTCCAGAAGCACTGGCCAGTGCTTCTGTAGAACAGAAGCCAGTCCTTCAGAAAGAAGTGGTCAGCAAAAATACTGACCACTTCTTTCTGAAGGACTGGCTATTTTGGTTATAGAAAGCAATTAGTCACTATTCTTGATCAGAACCAAATTTCATCCTTCAGTGACCAGAGATTTAACCAAAAACAATTATTCTATATTCTGTTACTAGTGTGTTAATTCGTATTTGATTACTGACCGATTTTATAGTTTTTCACACTTTTATTGGTTAGAGAAAGCAATTAGTCACTATTCTTGATCAGAACCAAATTTCATCCTTCAGTGACCAGAGTCTGTTTGTGATTTATAGCTCCAAAAACAATTATGGAGTCAAACACTATATTCTGTTGCTAGTGTGTTAATGAACAGCTACAGAGAAGAGAAAAAAGCGTATTTGATTACTGGTATAATTGCTCAGGTGATTTTATAGTTTTTTCACACTTTTATTGGTCATGGAACATTTTATTTCTAGCTATCTAGTTACATTTCAAACAGCTGCCTCATGTTTTGACAAGGTTGCAGAGAAAGAGATTAAAATGCCCAAACAAGATAATTTAATTCCAAAGAGCAGAAAATAAACCGCTAAGTTTGGTATCACACTTTTTAGAGGTAAGATACAAAATGTTGCAGCAAAGTTGAAAAACTTATAAAATATATGCACTAGGCTGCATGTCTCTGTTCTCTGATGGATGACATTTTTAGAAAGAAAAACAATGAAAAGAAATTTACATTTTTGCTGTGAAATTACCTGAACCATTACTTAAACAAATTTTTACTTCAGGTCCATTGAATATTGTTGAATAACCCCCTTGGCTTCATTCAAGGGATTGTATTCACTTTCACCAAATTATTAAATATTATAAGCATCCAATGGTCTTTTGCTCTCATTTCAGGCTGCTAGTATTGTAAGAACTGTGGCTCTCGCATTCAAAGCCATAGGCAAACTAACCAGAGAAAAAGTTGAAAGGGAATCACGAAGGGCTAGAAGAGCTTACTCTATCAGTAGTTCTGAGCGAACTCGCACTAACTCTGAAGTCTCAACGACTTCTACAATTGGTAGTTCATCTCTGGAACATAGACATCCTCATGTAAAGTGGAAACATGGCGTTGAAAGTTCCTCTGGTCGAAGATCTCCTCACGGGAAGAAATATACCAAAAGTTCCACCAGTCCTTCCATTCTTCGACATCCCACCAGTACCCACACTTCTGGACGGCATGTTGAATTTTCTGCATTGTCCCCTGTGCCTTCTGATGGTAGTGACAGTGATGGTAAGGAAGGGTCTGCCCTACAAGCAAAACAACCTCTTCTCAATGGCCAAATTTCTGTTCAAGCTGATATACATGGATACTCATCTATTGAGGCTTCAGAACCTCCCATATGGGTGAAAAGAGCAGAGCCAATTAGAAGGACTAGTTTGTCTGATATGGAGAATGAGTCAACTAAGGCTAGTTCTCTCAAACATGAACAAACTATGAGATTTAATTGCGCAGAAGAAATGCAGCCTCAGTTCCACTCAGAGCCTATTGTTGGAACAGAGTATTCACCCCCTATACTTTCCCCATCAATAGATCAAAAGAGTAATTTTTCAGGTAATGTTACTGTGGAAGGAAAAACAAGAAAAAGCAGGAAGCTTGAACATCAGGAGGTCCCATCAAAGGAGAAGATTCAAAGAGAACATGACCTCATGGGTCAGCATGAAAAGGAAGTTGCCACAGAAAACTTTGTTGTGCCTTGGACAAGTTCTCTCCTTCCAAATGAGTCCTTTCAAAAGGAAGCTGTCAATTCTCCTGATCGTCTATTGTCAAACTTTGTTAAATACAGGGGGAATCAACCCCAAGACATGTCCTTTCCCTTGTCTGATAGCGAAGGACCAGAAGATCTTGATGCAATCCGTGATGCAATAGCTGCAGTGCAAAAAGGGGAAACAACGGTGGTCGAGAAGTTTATTGACAATGGCATATCTGTGGATTCACATGACTCAGCCAGGAGAAGTTTATTGTACTATGCTGTGTCGCTGGGTGAAGTAGAGATGTCGCAATTTCTTTTGAAGAGGTAAGAGCACAATATGAAGTTTCCACATGTAGACAAAAGTGATTATAATTGTTCTCATCCAAGTTGACTGAGGGTTGGCATTTTCTTCAGACCTCTGCAAATTCCACACTTCAGTGACAGCTGGATCATTTTTTCCTCTCCAAAATCACTTTATTCAAATTTTTGAAAGCGTTTTTTATGACTTAATTGAATATTTTAGAGTGCCACTTGATTAAGCATTCTAAAACTGCAAGCAAAGTTATTTCAATGGTTAGATCAGAATGAAAGACAATTATCTCAAAGGGTACAAATGAACACGCAACAAACAGAAGCAACCTTTCTAAAGTGTGGAAAATTGCTAGTGACCAAGTTGCATTTGGTTTTGGTTCTTCATTTGGTGGGTTGTCATGATAAAGAACAGCAAATTCCCTGGATTAGGAATAGACTTTGGTGGAACAATCCCATATTACTTGCTCTACTATACTAAAAAATTGCTCTATCTGTTGTTAATAATAAGATCTAAACCAAGTCTGAAATAGGTTACTTATTTTTCTTTGGCATGTGGCAGAGAAACAACCCATTCTCTCAAAGAATTTGAACCAGAGTGTTAAGAAGCCCTGCCATGTGTTTAAATGTCAACTTGTTTGAATATTGTTTCATCTTATTATTTATTTGCTTATAAATTTGTATTCTGTTATTCCTCAGGGGTGCTGATATAAATTGGGAAGGACCAGATGATAAGTCTCCTTTACATGTTGCAGCAACGGCAGGAAACAGAGCTGTTACTCAGTTACTTCTTGGTTATGGAGCAAATGTCAGAGCTAAAGACAACAACTTGTATGTAAAATAAATTTTTGAAGTCTGATTTCATTGCTGCTGTGGAGTATGAAATCATGTAGTTTCATGTGTGACCCCTTAACTTTGAAATGTACATGTACATTATTAAAGTTTTTTTTATAACTGGTTTATGTTTAGTTTTAAATTCTGATGTACATGTGTAGACAATTCTTGAGTTTCATATTGTTTGTCTATGTACTTCTCTTATTTTAACAATGGACTGAAACTTTTGATCCTTTGAAGGAAAAAAAAACAAGAAGAACAACAAAGAACATTTTATAATCACTTATTGTAAATGAGGAAGATCAAATTTTTTCTTGCTTTGAAATTGCCGCCCCCCCCCCCTTCCCTTGATACATTCTCTTCGAGATTCTGTTGTCAGAAGTTCTCTTCATTTCGTGTCTTGACTTTGGTCTTTTAGTTGTACACCACTTCACATGTCAGCTGGACACAGGGGCAAGTTGGAAGTGTCCTTCCTTCTGGTTGAGCATGGAGCAAGAATCTTTGAGAATAATATCCATGGAGTGCGACCAGTTGACCTAGAACCGGTATGATTCTTTTCAAATCTTATTGACTATTCTTTGTGGATATGAAATGCTAGGGTGAGATTTAAAAGTGAGATGGTGAGGGAGTGTCTACAGCTTTGTGGGGCTCTGCTCTGTAGCCATTACTTTCTTTAGTCTTTGTGAAACTTGCATAAATTTGCCTTTAGAAATGCTTGTAAGAACCTGGCAAGCTAGATTTCTTAGACAAGAGCTTTCAGGAACCCAATGACTTGTCCAAGAGCACAGCTTTGTGTTGTCATGAAATTGTGGCTCATGAATACAGTAATCACTACTTTCAGCTCCCTTTTTTGGCTTTTAGCAGAGATCTCAGAGAAATACTCCAAAATCACTTTCTAGAAATTGCATGAATAAAATTTTTCATTTGCCCTGTACGTTAAATTAATTTTGTGTTTAGTAGTTAGAGTCATCTTACTTCATAGTTGTGTGATGAGCTTGAAATTGAACACAGTCTGTGACCTGGTTTTGATAGTAGTAAGTGATGTCCTCTTTTTCCTTTGCCAATTTGACTGACTTAGCCAGATGAAACAGTAATTTACTAACTTTAAACAGGAGCTAAAAGAGATGCAGAGACTCCTTGTGCAGTCAGCCTGTGAGGCTTTTGCTGCAGCAGACATTACCAAGTCACGATCAAATTCAGGAGCTTCGTCCATCAACCAAGGTTCAGTCAGCTCAAATGTAAGATCCAAGGCTGGTGTACAGTCACCAGCCACTGAAAGGGTATCTGCTTTGCGAAGAGGACTATTCCAACACAGAAGATCTTCCAGTTTGTGCTCAATATTGGGTGGGCGTGGAAGTCCAGAGACTGGGAGAGGAAAGCAATTTATCAAGAGATCAGAAAGCATTCATATTGCCCGAACTCTGAGTCCTCGGCTTGGTATGTCCTATGTCTTGGTGTTTTTTTCAGAAAGAATTCCAAATACCTGACCAGTGGTTGAACCAGACCATAATTGAAATTAGCTAATCAACTGACAACATCAACTGACAAAAGTTAACTGTAGAAGGACATTTATTTAATTAAATCAACCCTCTTATAGAGAAAGCCTGTGTCCTAATTACTGCCTAAAACCATGGTTTGGGTTTGTCTTCTTGTAGATAATGGGCCCTTTAACTCTGCAATAAATGTAGCATTAAAGAATATATTTTCATATTTTTTAAATTGGCTTTTTTCACAGCCAATTCTAGAAGAGGAAACCTTATGCGCATGCATAGTTTTCACAAAACAACACAAGATCAGTTGCAGACTGCAGATGTATATGCAGATCAGAAAAATTCTGTAGAGCAGCAGCATGCTGTCAAACAAACTGACTCATTGTTGGAAGGAGAAAGCATCAAAAAAGACATTCCACACAACAAAGCAGTCACAGAATCAACTGGGGAACCAAAGGAGACTTGCATCTCATCTGTTAACACGATAGATGGACATATTGCAAACACAGAAGAACAAAACATGGATTCTGCTTTGAAGCTTGAAACTCCTGTTGAAACACTTGAGCAGAATACAACTGTAATAACAATGAACCAATTTCAGACAGATGTTGTAAGTTCTGATTCTCAACCAAGTCCCTTAAAGCAGTCATCTGACATGACTGGATCAAGTGAGCCCTTGCATGCCTCACCTGAGGCCAGTCTTCTGTCTCCTTTCATTCCAAAGAAATATTCCAATGAAAAAAACAGACCTGTGTTAGATCTCATTCAATTTGGGGAAGACCCAGAGGCTGTTAAAGCTAAAGTGGAAATGAATAAAGATGTTGTTGGCAATACTCTACCTTCAGAAGAAGTTCAGCATGCAGAGGAAACTGGGGAAGCAAAAGGATTAGAAAGACAGCTTTCAAATGCAAGGCAACCTAGTATGGAGTCAGATCAGTCTGTGGTATGTATAAAATGTTCCATGTACCAGTATTAAGATAAGTTATTTTAAAGCATAGTTAACTGTCATGAGAGTACTTTAAGTTATACAATCATATAGCTTATACAAAAAACTGCAATTTGCAATGCAAAATTAATATAAAATACTAGTACTCATGAAAGGATTAAATTTACATGACCTTAACTTGTAAGATTGTGAAAACTTAAGGGGGCACAAAAAAATTTTTCTTGATATTAAGTAGATATTTAAAAAAAGCAATCTGTTAAATACAAAAGTAGAGATCGGAAAAAACTCAGTTACTCCTGTATGGCACCTCCAGACAAAATTATTTTAAGTTATACAATTTTTACCAGTGGAATAATTTCAAGCTTTCTTTTCAATGCTACTTGACAGTAATGGTTAAGTATGGTAGTTGATGCAAATTTTTGTGAAAAATTGAGACTGATAAATACTTATTTTGTTTCTTTACTTGTTTGTCAACTGATAGAGCTGTCAGAGGAGCACATCTGAATGTGAGGATAGCTCCTTTATAAGCACTGGCTCCAACTACATGCGAGATATTGATCCTTTAATAGAAGCTCTTGAACCAGTGGTCCTTCTGTCAGGCAATCCTGAGTGTCACTCCAGTTTACTGGCTTATTTATGTCTTCCTAAAGCATCTGGTCAGCTCATTGGGTTAGCACACATGGATGCTGGCTCATCTCTGATTAACAACCACATTGCAGTGCTGATTGGCAATCTTTTTAATGTGAGTAAAATGTTAGAAGTCCAGTACACTTTCTGGCTGGCAACTCCCCCTCTCTCCCCATTGCTGCATTTTAAATTAGCTGTGGATATGCTACTTTCTGTAGTGGGCACAAGTAAAACTTTTTTTATAACATACATGTGGTCAAGGTGTATTAATAAGCTTGATACAGTTTGAGAATATTGAGACACTCTGTTAGATTGTATCTTTCAGACAATGTTTGTAATAGTGCTCCTAGTTTTATTTACATATACATGTTTTACAATCTTCATGGAAAGTATATATGTGTAAGACCCTAAAAGAAAACTTGATTAGCCACATGTACAATTTTTATGTTTATTAAGCCTTATTGAGGTTACTTTTGTGAAACATTTCAACACCAACAAGCAGGGGTCATGTCTAAACCTTTTTTGTACTTTTTTCTTGAAGGTGAACACAACTCAAAAATATTGTTTGTTTTGAGACATTTCAGTTGAAAACAGACTTAAAATTTCTTGATTTGAAGGCTTATTTTAATTGATATTTATCTCCAGTTTAATATTCTAGAGCATGTGCCTTCATGAGGATATTTGGTGTTCCCCAATCCAATGCCAAGTGCCATAATTTGGTATTTTGTTTCTGATCAACAGCTGGAAGGGGCAGACAGTCGTAAGAGATCAGTTGAGGCTGGACTCATTGAGACAGTTTTGAAATTAGTAGACAGTCCTGAACCCATTCAGGTACAGGACCTTTTTCAGTTTGTGTTGCAGGTGTTTCAAGGGGTTATTTGTTGGCAAGTTTCTGTTTTTGTTCAGTATAGTTGTTGACTTTACAAAAACTTGTTGTCTGGGATGAATATTGTATATTGGCCAATTGAAGGATTCCATCTGCATGTAAATGTACTTACTTCTAGAATTCAAAGGAGCTAAATCCAAATTTAAAGAACCAGAGGTATTCTATGTAAGATTTGGTTGTTTTTGGTTCCTCTTGTTAGTGTTATTGTTATCTTTTCCCCCTATTTGTTTGTGTGTTTTTTGTGTGTGTGCCAATAACACTGAAACATCCAGCTTGTAACTGAAATGGTTTTGTCTCTCCAGAGCACGTGTTTGTCAATTTTACAAAGTATCCTGGACTTCAACAACGATCAAGAATTCTCCACAGCCCTGAAGACTATTCCTCTAGAGCCTCTGCTCAACTTATTGCAGATCAGTGATGTTGACAGTGGTGCATTTGACTTGCGTCAGACAGACTCACCCCCTCCCTTTACCCCAGCTGGTCATGAAAGGCCAAGATATCGCAAGAGAAGTACTTGCAGTCAGAGTTCTTGTGATGAGAGAGCAAGAGAAATGTCTCCGACAGTCCACAGAGGCTCTGTACAGAGAAACAACTCTGGAGCATCAGATGCACGATCTGACTTATGGCCACAACATGGCAGCTATATGCTGCAGAAGAAGAACAGCATATGCAGTATGGGAAGTTCAGCTGATGGAGATCATTCATTCCCTCTCTACAGGTATTCATTCTGTCTGTCTTTTCAAGTGTAAACCATAAGGGTTTTCCCTGGCTTTTTCTGTGTACTCATTTTTAAGTGTTAACCTATAGTACCTCTAATTACTTATGAAAAAATTCAACATGTAAAAGAATTGCTCTACCGGTTTTAAAATTTATTTGACCTGTCGCACTGAAAATAAGGGAGAATGTTGCCTGTTGGCCATCTAACCTTGCATTTTAAGCATGTGTATATGGAATAGTTGTCCAATAGGCACTCATTAAACATGAAGTATACCTTTAATCACTCTGCAGCCCTGGATTTGGTCATAATCACCTTCCGTTAATGGATCTGCATTCCAAGACGATGCCTAGAGTAGTTGCCACTAAAATGCTGTCAGCCAGCAGTATTCATCCAAAAATGCAGATGGAACTTGGCAAGACAAGGTAATCTGTTTATTGTGAAATATAATGTATTTAGTGAATGACTCGGGCACACGCGTAGAAGGAGAACACAGTGAATTTCCAATTAGTACCTGGGATTCTCTACCACTGAGGTGTAGGAGATTTGTGGGAAGCTAGGCTGTTGAACAAGGACCATGGTTTAACAAGGAATGTTGAATGTGTTGCTTTGGCGCAATGATGATGTAAATGAAGTTGGTGAATTTTACGCCTGGTTTTTAAGTGAAAGATAACGTCTTCAGTGAATAACGCAGGCATACTCGGGAAAAAAGAACTTCAAGTGCTCGCGATATGAGTAAAACCTACGACTTTCTGATTGGTACTTCGGATGCTCTACCATTGAGCTGTAGGAGACTCCAACTAGGTCCATGACGAATTTCCCGCTTACTGCAAGGATTCAGCATCTTGTTGGTATAATACCTTAGATCTTTCAGTGTTTGATACTTTTTAAAATAAAGGTTACAGATTGTCTATCAAACGTTGTCTCACTGAATAAATAAATTGTGTTGTTTTATAGGCCACTTTCCTTACTTCTGGACACGCTGACAGACAGTAACCCTGAAATTGTGATCTATTGTGTTGCAACAATAGCAAACATTGCAATGAGTGTGGACAATCACATGCAGGTAAATATCGGGTGGTGTGATAGGCATTTAAGATAAGATCATGTTTTCTACCTGGCAGTGACGCTATATTCCTATGTATTTTGTAGATTGATTTGGCTGGAGGTGTTGATGGCCTCAAGCAAATGTTGAACTATGGAGATGCAAGGTATTCTGTTGATGATGTCGTAACTTCAACGAGGAGCTATACTTCTTTACGGATAAAAGCAAATAAGCAAAAGACGAACTCATTTTTGACTACGAATGTCTTGTAGTGTTTTGATTATTGCACGGTCTTTTTTAATTTGTTTAACTCACTCGCAGCCTTTTATATTTTCTTCTGTTGACTAGCTTTGTTTCATTGTGTTGCAGAGTACGATATCATGCTGCTCGTGGCTTAATTTATCTTGGTTACATTGGTGTCGGAGGAGTTTATCTCTTTAAACGTGTCCCAGGTAGGTTATAGAAATTTGTTTCGATTGTATGCATGAACTCGTTACATTTTTTGGCAGATGTGTACTGGGTGTTGTGATGATGGACTAACGCCCTACCCAGGCAGATAGCAATACTTCTATTTGTGTCGCGCTTTAGAAATGTGTTAAGTCTAAAAGGCATCTGGCTCGAAAGATTTTAACTTCACTTCTTTTGTTTGCGAACTTCAGGTGATGAAAAGCTTGACGTGTTGTTCTCAGAGTCAACCACTGGAGAGGAGCACCTCTATGTCAGGTTAGATAATACTGCAACTTGTACGTACAGACGTGGAGTCGCGTAGTAGATCAAATTTTCCTGGCCCAATTGGTTACCAAATTGTGTAGGTATGGTGTTGCGCTGCGCGCGCTGTGAGCTCCGCTGTTATTATTAATGCTACATCGTGGTGGACGCTTTTTTCTACCAAATACAAGGAAGGGAGTAACGCATTGCAACTCAGATTACGGAAACATAACATTATTTTGTTTCGCGTACCATTTTAGTTTAGGAGTGAAATTTATTCAATGTTCATTTATATCAAAATCTGCAAGTTTAATAATTATGAAGTACATTGGATTCCCGTTCTTTCAAACTCCTTGGGGAAAAAGAGATAAGAATTTAAAAAAATAATGTGACTTCATATTCTCCGCACTGATCCCAAAAGTTCTTGTGGTAAGGACAAAATTTTAGTGAACTTGATTGTTTGACCTGAAGCTTGCATTATTTATGTACAGAGGAGCAACAGTGGAGAAAATTGTGGAGATCGTCACCCATAATCCGTCCCTCTTGTGGGGTGGTTTGACCTTACCACACTGGTCTGGACGCTCAAAGAAACATTCTTGGTACAAGTCCAGCAGCTCTGGAAACAAACACATGCCTAGTGATGACCAGATCGTAGATTTTTTGCTGACAACTTACAAGAGCTATGTGCATCCTTCCATTTTTATGAGATTGCTGCTTCATAGGTAGGGTGAACCCAGAAGGTCAACTAATTTAAAATCGACTGTTAGAAAGTGTGATCGTTCTGTCTGTCACTCCATAGGAGCTATTTGCATTCGCTTGTCGAAAGTAGTCTGGGCTTGCTTTGGTTTTACTTAACTTATTTTTGTGATTGGTCCGGAAAACTCGCGCCATCAAATCAGATGCAAAACTAAAAACAATCACGACGTAGCCATTCGTTATTTCCCGCCCTTTAAGTAGTTTTCTTGTTTTCACGTTGAGTTCTCATATGCGAATGATAAAGTAAACTTTTGTTCTAATTGGTCACCAGGATTAGCTTTGTGATCGCTCCGGAAAAATTTGTGCCATCCTCCCAACCAATCAGATGCAAAACTAAAAACAATCGCGACTTAATCATTCATTATTTCACACCCTTTTAAGAAGTTTTCTGCCCCTTCAAACATAATAACGTGGCATCGACACATTGTTTTCACGCACTCTTTCCCTTTCAACTCATCTTCAGTCTTTCTCTTATAGATTTCATGACCCCTGGTTTGGCAAGTACTTTGATGGAGACCCATCCACTGGGCAGATGCAGGACTACAGTCCACTTCCTGTTTTGCACATTCATTTGATGAGATTATGGACAGCCTGGCTCGAAAAATGTCCGGAAGAGTTTGTCAGTAATCCAGTCATGGCAGTAAGTGTCTTCGGTAGTATTTTTTAATTTACTTGGTAGTGATCCACTTTAATTTCAAAAGTGTTAATGTTAAAACTTGGTGGTATTATACATTGTACTTTAAGACGTAGCTCAAGAGAGCATGATTGTTAGGGACATACTGGAAAATCAATGCCAGTCAAGCTATTATTAAACTCAGAGTAAAACCCCTTGATTACGTAATGTTGCAGTGATTACTAACATGGCTGGTACTCCGTAAGCACACCACAAAAAATTATTTGCATTTTTAAGTCAAGGTGCAAGAAGGCATCATTTTTGCTTGAAAATAAATGCTATATGTCTACATTAATACTGACATATTTTTCTCGCTGCTTAGTCCGAGCTGAGCGAAGTTATACTTCCCTTAAGACAAGCTGGTGGTCCGTACCTTCCATGTGCAGAAATCCTGGCAGATCTTATTGAGAGCTTGATGGTAAGCTTCAATCACAACAGTTTGATGATATTTTTCATGCCACCGGTCCATTTTTTTCTCTTTCTTTCTTTCCTTCTTTCTTTCTCTTTTCTGAGCTGAATTTTAATTTCTTGTAGTGTAGACAAGGTATGCTAACGTAGCTCCTTGTGTTGTGATCTGGTTTTCTTTTCCAACCACGGGGCATCTGCAAAATTCCCTATCAAATATTGTGAACTGCTCGATACAGTCTAGCCAGAGTCCTCCTAAAAATGTTGTAGGGCGCAGCATAGCATATTAATATGGAGATTATGCCATATGCCATCATCATCATCATCATCATCATCGTTACCATCATCGCCGTTAGTTATTTGTAAGATTCTTTAGCAGTTATAAACTACTTTGATTACAGGAAAGAGCTGAAAAGAAGCACCATCGGGACAGGTTCCAGGCAAACCATTGTCACCATGCGATTCTTTATGAACAGGTGAGAAGAATAAAGTCGTCGTCTTGGTGAATATCAGAAAGAGAAAATTTAAATACAAGGTGTAGTGGAAAACTTGAAATGTGCAAGTAGATTTGAATTGGTGTATTCTGCAAATAAAACCAGCCTCGTCTGAGGATTGTACAGACTGCTGATGTTGATGGTTTTTTTTTTCTGTAGTGTCAAAAAGCGGTCGTTAGTGGAAGCATGCCTTGTTCGGTTGAGGATTCTATTCACCTAAGCGCCCTACAATTGTATATTGAGGTGAGTGGACGAAACCGTAAACATCTATATAATAAACATTAGTGTTCCGTTATCTCTACTTCATGTCCGTGATGAAGGCGCTTCTAAGCGATTTAACCTTTACACCCTGACATCACTATGTTTATTCTCTATATTGTTCTCTATACTTTTGCTCAACTGCTGACAAAGAGAATTTGTTTAGCAATCAAGAGCCTCTTTTGTTGGTGATCATTTCCTTTATTCTCATGACCTTAATGTGTGATTCGGGGGTGATATTGTAAGGAGAAATTAGATGCTAGTCACTCTAAGGAGTCAAAGGGTGAAACGTCCGCCACAACCCACAATGTCCATTAAACTCTGGAAATAGAGATTCGGCATCCACAGCAGAGTTGCCTTCATAGTTTTTCTTTTTTAGGGGAAGAATGGCGTGAAATTAGGAACCTTACGAAAGATGGCTTAGTGCCAAAATAATTGAGACAGGGCTGCGGACGATTTCATCAAAGCGTCGTAGAGCTGTTTGAGATGAGCGTCGTAGAAGTTAGATCAGTTCAGTTACAACGGCCAATCACAACAAACTGAGGCGATTATCGAAGAAAGTTATCGAGAAGTCAAAGTTACCACATTTAACCGGAAAGTAACGATTGGTTTTTGAAATGTTTTGCTTCAGATTGGTTGAGACGGTGATGTTAGCTTTCTAAACCAATCAAAGGCTGTAGTCGAAAGACTGAAAGGAAACCATTCTAATCCCGTATTATATTCAGTTGAGACCCACTGTAAGATTTCTCTAACAAGTGTTTGTAAATTTGCACAGGATCTTCTTCCAGTGGAAGTGCGGGGAAAGCCACGCCTCTTTTCATCTTCCAGCAGAGAGAAGTAAGAAAGCTTTATGTTTAAAAATGCTTCCATTTCTTTCTCTATTTTCCCCTTTCAAACGATTTCTTCTTACTAACAGTGTTGAGCTGAAGGTTCATCGCATTTTTGAAGCTGTTGAAATTGTTCATGTGATCCTTCTTCTAGGTTGTCAGTTTCTCGTATCAAGTTGAGTTTGCATCCATCCATGTACAAAGTAAAGAATATGGGTAAAAGGTCAGACAGATTTTTAGATTTACCGTAGCTTATTTGTTTGCTGATTAAGTTATTTAAATAAGCAGCAGGAGGGAAAGGGGTAAAAAATCTTGATTCAGTGTAACAGTCTGCGATATTTGATTTTCCCTTGTACAGGATCAAGGCTCAGTATGAACAGTTTGTGAACAGCGGCATGTCAGAGAGGAATGCTAAACACAATTATATCGACTACTGTCAGGCTCTGCCTGGTTACGGCTGCCACTTTTACAAGCTGAAGGTAAGCCTGTGGAACTTGGGATAACGAATTAAGATGTATGTGTACCATTTTTTCCTTTTATTTTATAGATCTCTTTTTGCTGAAATTGCTTGAAACAGAAACATTACCTGCCAAATTGTAGATGACCATTAAATTAGAGAATTCTTGTCTGTATTTTTTGAGACTCTTTTACCAGGAAGTTTGCCACTGAGTATCAATAGACATTAGAGTTAATCTTCGAAATAAGAGAAAGAAAATAATCGATAATTCTATAATTGGATGACTTTTTCTTGTGTCCTAAGGAATGCGTGGGAACTGTCAACCCCAAGGGGGTTCCTGTAAGATGCTACTTAGGGATCAGTCCTAGGAGGATCACAATTTTGGACGAGAAAACAAAGGTAAAAGAAATATAGCGATCGTTAGTTTAGCATAAGTTAACTAATATACTACGCGCGTACTCATTGGTCGATAAGTACATTGGCGAGAGAGTATGAAACACGCTTGCAACGATTTTGATCGCGCCTTCAGTCGAGGAATATTTCACAAAAGCAATGTGAGATTTTTTTTCAGTGTTCAGAAAGCCTCTTCTTAAGGTGGAGGTGGGAATACTTGAAATTTAAGGAAACGCACTTGATTGCAGAACTGTCTCGAAATCGCCTGTCCTCACGGTGAGGTGAAGCTATTGTAATACGGAAACGGTCTGCATTGCTTAATTCTCGGTAAATAATCTTTCTGTATTGTTAGAGAAGAGAATAAAGAGGTGTTGTTTCAATATATTGCGCTATTGACTCTTATCAGGCTGTTATTGGGACGTGGCAATCCAAGGAACTGAAAAGATGGCGGTCTTTGGCAGACGACACTAGACTCCGCTTGGAATTCATCGACAAGACGTTCGAATTTGTGTTGGAAAACAAAGGGTAAGTAGCTTTTTGTAGTGAGTATTATTCAATGTTTTCGCAAGTGGTATTGATGTTGAAGATCTCGAAGTTTCTGTTTGGAAGGTTCTAGCTCAGAGGATTAAAATGCAGCATTGGTTTCATTGTATTCAGTTGATTTTGATATATTGTTTTCTTGGTAAGTGATGATTTAAATTTCATTTCGCAGGGTTTTCAAAGAAATCAATGATGCGCTTCTGCTGTGCACTAAAGTTGAGTTACAGGTAAATTGATCGCTTGCATTTCTAAGATCTCACTCCAGATCTCTCTCTTGTCTAAACATTTCTTTTCCCTACCAAATTGTCCCTAAATTTATCCCTATTGATTGGAGAAGTTCAAATTGTCACAGGGTTTCGTGTATCATTATTTCAGATCCTTGCAGGGCAGGATTTTTCACCATGGAGTAAATACGCTGAGGAAACTGAAATGTGGGGACAACAGGCCTTGGAAGCTGTTGCTCGCAAACCTGCATTTTACTCGGATAAGTATGAAAGTGACTCAGGAATGGTCTCCAGATTAAGAGCCATCTCCCTAGCTTCTTCTGTTCCTGATCAGTACGCAGCTAAAGTGAGAAGGCAACTGTCCACTCAAGCGAAGCTGTCTTCGTCTGCGCCGTATCAGCAAGGAGCGTTACAGCAAAAATGTGACCGAGGCGATGTCGTGGCTCTGAAGACTGGTGCCGAGGCTGTTCTGCCCACCACAGGTTTGTTAACAACGCGCATGACGAGTACAACGTATGAATCTCATTTTAACTTGCTCTTCAAAGCCTTATTTGAAATAATTGAACAAGGAGGGATTTTCGTGGAACTTTGTTTTCAATTCATTTTTGTTTTGTTTTGTTTCGCAAGAGCGAGACTTAGCTTTTTTTCCAATGCTTTCTAGAACTAGAAAACAGTGTGTTCGTTGCCACACTTAGCATACTTTGTTGCCCTTTTTTTTAGGGTCATTAATCTTACTAACTTAACCGGACTTATTTTGGTAATGTAACACATTCTGGACATGTGCAAGGACTGCGTCTTTGTATTTCTCTTTACATATTTTCTCTGTTTTTTTCCATTGTACTTTTTTTTCGACGTTTCAGGAGCAGCTATTTCATCGGCTGGCAGCCCTGGCAACGTATCAGTGGGGTCCCATACATCCGAGGACCTTCTTTTAGGCTCCTTACAGAGCACTTTAGATCCAAATAAGTGCTCTTGGGAGCCAGGGTCGATCCCGACAAGCGATCAGAGGAGGCCGTCAAGTAAGGAACCTGGTTAAGTCTTTGCGGCTTTCAAAATTTTGGCCGCAATGGCATGGGAAAAGAAGTGAAGAATAAATAAATAAATAAGAAATTGCAGTAGAAGTAACGACTGCTGGTTTAAGGCTAAAACAGGAGATGCACCTTCTGTGTTTTTCTTCTGCTCTGTTGCTTCATGTTCAACTTAATTATAATAATAATAACATTCGGTAACATTTAATTTGATACAGACAGCGGGTCTACTAAAATTCACACTTTCGCTGACAAACTCATTTTTTATTGATCATGATCATAACGCCCCATCGTTATTGAAAGACAATTTTGTTGGAGTTTTTGAGAGAAAATTAAGGAATTTGGACAGAAGAGGTATCTTAATATCACCTCATTGGGGCTACTTCGATAGCGTCATCTAAAATCTAACTACGGCTACTGAGAGGCAAATTTAGAATAGTTCCAAAGTGTCAATTAACTGTCATATGGCAACAAACGAATCCTTTTGAGAAAAATATGGTTGATTGATCTTGTAGGAAGCAGTGAAGCAAGTGTAGATAACTCCAGTTCGCCGACAGAACGCCACGCTCTCGACTCCTCGGGCTCTTTCCCCGTGGGACAAGACTTAAAAAATTTGGCATCCAGCGATCGGCGCCTCAAGTACATAGCAAATAGTAATTCCTCTTCACTGGGGAGTGATTCACCCAGTTCAGGACAAACCACGCCGACTTACAAGGGACCGTTTAGTTCGACGCTACGCGATGATGATGATTTTGAAAGTGTAAATCGATCTTTCGGTCAGAGTTCTAATGGACAGTTGTTGATTTGTCAATGCCCACCAGACGCTGAGTTACCGGGATTTGATCGGAGAGACTTCTCGTAAGTACAGCTTCATTTTTGTCAGTAGATAATGCAGAAGAAAAAGGATAGGGGAAAGATAACAGGAAGGAAGAAAAGAAGAAACAGTGTCGTTGTGGGTTGCAAGGAGGCTAATAGGAGAGCGTTTGTTAAGAGTTATGAGAGAGTTACGAGAGGGAAGGTGGAAGAAAATTGTGAATCTCAATGGATGAAGAAGTTTTGGGAAAGTTTGGGTTGTGTGCTTATTGTCTGTCTTTTTCTATGCAGGCCTTATGACTTGCTTCAACATCCCAAAGAGTTGGCACGACAAATAACACTTATTGACCACGGTAAGTACAAAACACTGATTTCACACGATGGCCTGGTCGTATTTTAATGTTAATTTCAACTGAAATCAGTCTGAATAGTAATTTGATAGATTTTTCTGTCCATTCAAATGAATATCTTTGCAAGAAGTACCGTATTTACCCGTGTATAATGCGCGCCTGTGTATAATACGCACCCTAATTTTTGACCTCTTTTTTCCGAAAAAAAAAGATTTCATGACAAATACCAAGAATTAAAACTTCCATTTTTTCACTTAATTAACAAGAGCTGGGAATTCATCAATAATATGTTTACAACAATTTCTAACTAGTTGCTACTACAAATATCGAACGCACCGAGCACCTATTTACAAGCTTTTCTATTCAGTAACAGTCAAACGTTTTATAAATGTTGTAACTTGAAGTCCTTACTAATATACCTAAATTCACAACTTGAATTATTATCATAACAGCCGTTCATAAACATTATTTCTACTCACAGTACTGTTGGTAGCTTGAATATAATTACTGCATTGCAATTGCGTGATTTAAGTAAAATGTTCAGTGTCTTTAAACCGACTCACAGTCCGATTCGAATAGGTTTTCGATGACTGAATCCTCAAGTTCATCAGTGATCTCAGTTGAATTGTAAACCAATTCATCTTGTGATCCATTCGAATTGTTTGTGATCCCACACTTCAGAGAGAGGCAGCGATCATTTCTGATGGAATGCCTTCCTACGCTTGTGAAATATACGAACAGATCAGTTCCTCCGAAGCCTTTTTTTGTCGTTCAGTAAGTTCGTGAATTCCATCAGCCATCCACTCCTTTCGGACTCCATCTCTAAATGGTTTGTTCAAAGATACATCGAGCGACTGGAGAAGGGAAGTTCGCGTTTGAAGGAAGTGTTCACAGTATCTGTCATGTGAGCTTCAAATGAGTCGTAAACAAGCAAGCTCTTTCTCCTCCCCAGGCCACCGATCCGTGCACTTTTACTTTCTTTGTTGCGTTTTTAACGTATGCAAATTAGGACGTGCTTGACAAACAATAGAATCCGTGTATAATACGCACCGCGATTTTGATGCTTGTTTTTATGGGAAAAAAAGTGCGCATTATACACGGGTAAATACGGTAGTTCACGAGCATGTAACCCTTTTCGATCTGATTCGCAAGTTATCCGCAAGGAGCTTAGTGATCATTCTTTGTCAGCGGTCATTGTCACGAGTGCAGGCTCACGCTGAACGTCAGCGTTCAGGGCATTCTGTGTAACACAGCAGTCAAATGTAAAGTATGTTGAAGAGGATCAATTTTGGCCGCCTACGCGCCAAGTTCCTATGCAAAATTCCTAAAGAAAACATAAGAAACAACCGCTGCGAAAGAAAAAAATGACACCTTCATATAAAAAACATAAGGGAAGAGGAAAACTCGAAACTTTTCGCGCACAAAGCTTATTTATGTGCGGGTTTCTTGCTGATTTACTATTTGTTTTGAACTTTACCAAAAATTTTGTACGTTTTTTAACACCGCAACTTACTGGCTCATGTGCTTGTTTATAGGACAAGTTGGTTTTTATACCCTGATATCACGTCACCTAGCCTTCAGAAAATTCGCCCATGCACAGAAGTTTGACCTCCGTGTTAGTCTGTGTAGTGGTCGACCTTTAGCGGTTCATGTTCTCTCATCCCACCCACGTACCCACCCTCTTATCTTCCTTCTGCTGATCTAATGAGTTTTTTCACCGGTCGCCGCTTCCGGCGCATAAAATCGCCGGTATCTGGTACGTCAGATATCGGCGATTTTCGCTGGCGATTAAATTCGCGGCAAACGGAGAATAAAATCGCCAGGTGGGTCACCGGCCTAAGATTACCTCTAGATTACTAATTGTGATTCAAGGTTTTCAGTGTATTTTGGGGGGTTTCCTTTTCAGAGTATTTCTGTGCGGTGACGTCAGCTGATATTCAAAGGAAGATTGCCATAGGAACGGGAAAGAAACGGAAGGTACCACCTGAAGAAAAACTATCTGTGGAGAAAGTTGCTGACAGATTCAATCAGGTAAACCGTAGCAAATTAAGCAGTTACTTTTGGGCTCTTCACTTTGTTTTCCATTTCCAAGTCTATATTGGAATCTTGAGGCTTTTGGTTTTGTGGAGGGCAAAATACCAAACAACCCGGAAGAAAAAAATGGGAACTAACAATAAACTCAACCCATGTTATACCGAGAGTCGTACCCAGGCCACGGCAATGGAGACGAGCGCTCTCAACTTCGCACCATCCTTAACCCTCTCCCCTTCCCCCGAACAGCTTGGTGATTACCTCCTTTCTTTTTTTTTTTTTGTCTACAAACCTACTCTGATAATTAATGTGATTTGACTGCCATATCGAACATTGATATTGAAAGGTTAGAAGGAACGAACGATTTACTGTCCATTACACTTTTAGCTGAGTACCTGGGTAGCAGCCACGATTGTCACAGAAAAATCAGTGGAGAAGCGTGCCGCCATGTTCATTAATTTCATCGAAACTGCCAAGGTAATTTCAAACATTTCGTGAGCTATGAGGTCTTCTTATGGACCCCTTCCTCTCCATGCTGGAATCCCGAAGTGGACCAATTTGCCACCCTTCACCTCGTAGCCATATCAGTACCAATGCATTATGAGACTCATCACTCTGTGCAGCTGCGGGTGTGGTTTCTTCTCACTGTTTAGACGTATAGTTCTCGTACTCTTCCAGACGATTTTCGTTTATTGTAACAGTCTCTTCTTGTGAAATCATGCTCTCTTTTTTTTATTTTCAGCTTTGTTTGGAGTTGAGAAACTTTAACGCCGTAATGGCTATTATTGTGGCGGCTCTGGGTAGTGCACCTGTGAGAAGACTGCACAAAACCAAAGAGGTGAGGCTCCAAGGCTTGTTAAACCTTGCATCAGTGCGCATATTCTCTATACTGTTCTCCCCACTCTTTCTAAGGTGCTGACGAGGAGAGTTTTTTTTGCAATCAAGAGTTTCTGTGGTTGGCGATCATTTCCTTTATTCTCGTTACCGTAATATTTGATTCAGGGGTGGTATTGTAAGGATAATTTAGATGATAGTGACTCTAAGGAGTTAATTAATTAATGGCTTAATCGCTTCTTCTAGAACTAACTCTTCTGTTTCGTCAAGCAGTTTACTTCCATTCCAAGTCTCTTCTCATGCCAAAGTCGTTCTCGTTCTCCGCGTTCATTCATGCTCGCTAGCCTCGCGGGCTTCCGCGCTTAACTCAGAGAAAAAGAAACATTCAGGAACAGGCTATCCCTTCCACATAGGAAACTCTTATTTTCGTTTTCTTTGTCAGACCGCCAAGGGAGCCCTATGTTCAAGTTAATTTTCTCAAAATTTTTAAGCACGGAGATCACACTAATTTTGCTCTGCTCTTGGTCCAGTCGAGTACCGCCACCTATTTTAAGGGAAAGTTGTGACATTTAAACACGCTAGTGAGGTTTTCACCCTCGATATCCTTTACTTGCAGCTCGTTCCCAAAGAAGTCCTTGAGCAGTATGCCAAGATGGAAATACTTATGGATACAAAAGTAAGTCATGGTTGAGGTAAAACCGTTCCGTTTTGATAATTTGCACCATGTTCAGTCTTCTGTGCCTGACTTGGTTTTACATTTAAGGAGAAACTACAACCCGCGACAAAATATACCATTTAGATTTTATTATTCAGGAATAGCATGCCATTCTTATCCTTAGCACCCTTGCTTTCACCCTCTTTTCCCCCATCCCCCCTGACCAAGCACCACATACACCCCCTCCAACCGACCCAGGACGTTTCCTGTGATTCTCTGTCAAGGGGTGTTGAGCAGGCTTGTAGCGAAATGTGGTTCGTTTTAGATTTGATTTCTTAAAACTTCCGTTAAAATAGTCTCTTAAATGCTGTGTAGAAATAACTTTTCGTCCATTCTGATCTGGGTTCTCTCTTTCTGTTGTATTAGGATAACTATAAAAGATATCGACAAGCCCTTGGCTCTTCTCCAACTCCTTCAGTTCCATACTTTGGTAAGTTTTGAATTTTCTCACCTACTTAGTCTTTGTGCTGTGAATAGTTTTCATTACTAGAAGAGAAAGAATGTAATGTTTCTTCTGGGTGTAAGGTAGCATGATACTCTTCGGAACCGTTATTTTCTTAGTTTTGCACCAATTTTTTTACGACACACGAACTTTGAGCCCAAGCCCCTCATTGCTTCACCTGTAAGCTGGCTTTCGCTGGCTCTACGGAGCTAGCGGCAAGGCCAGATTATGACGCGTTTCGGCACGAGCTTTTCTTCGCCCGCGGGTGAGTGTGAGAGTAACGCGAGCCGGCGAGAAATATGCAGTGGTTCTAGTGCCAGACCGCCGGCAAACACTTTCCCAGCCTCGTCTCAAGTTTTCCCGCCGATAGAGTAACGCGCATCCTGTAGCATTATTAATGAGGGCCTGCTTGCAAGTAGCAATTCGCTTCTACCTGTCAACTGGTCTCAATGCCAGTTGCGTGTCCTTCATTGATCAGTGAGCAGTATTATTTCATAAGTCGAGTGATTTTTGACTCGAATCTAAATGACTGACCGTTCACTGTGGACCTCGCTGAAATAAATCACCGTGTTAACCTTACTGTTTAAATTAACAGGTGTTTATATGAAAGATCTGACCTTCATTGCTGAAGGAAATCCCGACTTTTTTAAAGGTGGTCTGATTAATCTGACAAAACGAAGACAGGTTAGTAATTTGTTGCATCAAAGTCCTGATAAAAAGAAATTTCTCGCTCGGCGGCAGAACGGCTGAATGTTTTCACTCTTCACAATGTTTAACTGAAGGGAGTTTGTTGAAACAGTTACGCATCCAGTTAAGTTTCACTTTGAGCCCCAGAATGAGTTTTATTCCTTGTGAATTCATAAAGTTATCAGCCAATTTTACTAGATCTTTAACTATTTTTCTACGTTTGCTGTGAAGGGAATTTTTTAATTGTTGTGCATGATTACCCGTCTTGTCATCAGATTTACCTTGTGATCGATGAAATAAGACGTTTCCAGAAGGATGTTTATAATTTTCAGGAGGTAAGCCGCTTCTTCTTTTTCCCCTTATCGTATGGCCATTACTTTAGCAGCATACGTTTTTTTCAGGCTGACTCACTTTTTTTTTTTTTTTTTCATTGTTCGTTGAGTGGGACTGAATCAGGAATGGCTTAGGGAAAGCTCTGTTTGCAAAAACTCGTCCCACAATTTTGTTTTCACGCTAAAATAGAACAGGTTCGCGCGCTCCGAGTGTTTCTCTCCTTATAGATCTTCTTGATTCAGAGACGTTACTTTCGAATCTCAATGCTGTTATGGTATTCCCGTCTTTTTTCAGGTGTCTGAGATTCGAGACTACCTCGCCAACGAGAAGATTCACACGGAGAAAGAGCTGTATGATATCTCGTGCCAATTCGAGCCAGGCCTCCCTCGGAGACATTCTGAAGCCGACAAATCCTCCACATCGCGCCCAGTGCCACAGTTCAAGTCGAACACAGTCGGCCGTATGGCGGGAAAGAGATGCATGAGTCTTTCCCGGAGCTCAACGACCTTGGAAACTGCCATGCCGGATTCAACATGTTAACGTCACACTGACGTCAATAAATTTTTGACGTCACTAAAGCTTTAAAGTATGAAAGTTGTGCTGATGTGAAAGAAAAGATTTATCGATAGTAATTGATCAGATTTGATTTTAATTTATCCAAACCTTTTGACAAAGGGAACGGCACATGTAAAAATTAACATTGAAGTCTTGCTTTGTTTCTTGGAACAATTTCAGTGCGAGATGCCAACTTCTTTTGTCCCATAGAGGTGTATACATTGTTATGAAGTTTATATGTTGTAAATATTCTTACCGAGGTACAATTGAAGTTTACATGATGATTTTATAAAGCTATTTTCATGGACCTTGAACGGTGTTTATAGTACCGTTGAAAATTTACATTCCCAGCGTCTTCTTAGCCTAACACAAGGCTTCATCTTACGTCTTTACTGCCATATTCTCTCCTAATATTTGAGTCTCAGAGGCTCGGTAACCTTCATGCTCTGAATAAATTGCTGTATTTACAGTAAACATTAAAGATGGACTGTCAGTAATCCCACTCAAAATTGTCTTGCGTCTTTACTGCCATATTCTCTCCCAATGTTTGAGTTTCGGAGGCTCGGTAACCTTCATGCTCTGAATAAATTGCTCTATTTACAGTAAACATTAAAGATGGACTGTCAGTAATCCCACTTAAAATTGTCTTTTTAAAATACTGCCATATTCTCTCCCAATGTTTGAGTCTCAGAGGCTCGGTAACCTTCATGCTCTGAATAAATTGCTGTATTTACAGTAAACATTAAAGATGGACTGTCAGTAATCCCACTTAAAATTGTCTTTTTAAAATTGCCTTACGTCTTTACTGCCATATTCTCTCCCAATGTTTGAGTCTCGGAGGCTCGGTAACCTTCATGCTTTGAATTAATTTCTCTATTTACAGTAAACATTAAAAGTAGACTGTTAGAAATCTCGCTCAAAATTGTGTCAACCCTTTAACTCCTAAGATCTCACTAGTAATTCTCCTTACTGTCTGTCATACAGTTCTTGTGATGTTAGTATGGAGAATTTGCTATTGGATCAACTTATAATCCCCTCATTGATATTTTTCTTTATTCTCATCACTTGTCTGCTTGATATTGTATTGATATTGCAAGGAGAAATTCTGTCCTGGTCACTTATGGGAGTTAAAGGGTTAAGGTACGAAAATATTACAGTTCTATTTACATTCATTACGTGAGAGTTGTTTACGTTAAAGTCTTGTTTTGTTTCCACGGTACATTTGCACTTTAGTTGCGGAGTGTCGTTTGATACACCCGAAAAGTTTATGTGAAATACCTGAAGTAGTGTTCAATTACCGGTTTATGTGTAGAAGATATGAACGAATCTAGATAACTTTAAGAGTTAAACGTGGATCCCGAGAATGGTATTTGGTGACTCGAGAACAGAAGCAGAACTGAGTTACCGAGAGATGACCACACGGGTTGAAATCGCAGCTCTGTGAAATGACGAAATTTTTGAAAGAACACGTGCATCTTGCGGTAAAATGCAGGTAAAATTGGACGACCTCGAAGTACGAGTCGGATGCGATCATCATGAGCAAATTTGAGACGAAATTTAACTTCAATTGGACTCGTGATTAACAAATCGTACTCTCTCTTCGCGGTGAGCCGATTTTATTTTTTCCAGCAAAGTGTCACGGGTCTATTAGACTCGATAATATCGGTGGTGTCGGATTATGAAGTTCTTGAACTTAGTAGCGTCTCTTTCATAATGGAGTCATTCAAGGAAGGAAATTCACTTATTTGTCGGTATCCTTGGTTTTCCTTCCGTAGCTCCTTATCATTTGTTAGCATTTGCTGGTATGTGTGGGAACATAGTCTCCCTAGCAGAGAGACTATGGTGGGAAGTTTGCGCACCAGGGTGTTAACAAATCCTTGTGATATCTCATTTTCGTTGCAAAGAGGAAGGACAAAAAGATCGGCGAGGTAGATTCTAAATAGAAGGTTTACAACAAAGACACCTGATTACCCCGGAGAGCTATAAATCGCCAAATGTTAACATAAAAATTGTTCTAGATGCGACTCACTTCGCGACCTTGCATCAGTATTTCATGGGGTTAGAAGCTGTTTTGCTAGCCCTTCTTCACCCTGAAATCTGTGAGATTCCCACATATCTTTATACCCGTATGCCAAAATCTACTTAAAGCTCTTTTGGACGGAGCATACCAACCGAAAGTCCCCCCCTGAGAAGTGTGTTACAATTCGTGTCGGCTTCCTTCAAAGTACAAATATAGGAAGTTATATTTTCATCTTCGTCTGAAACACCGTTTTTCTTTGAATAAGCGCCCACGCTGTCATAAGTGCCATTCCCCGAGTGAGTGCATTTCCCCTAGGCCATAATTTCTAACAGGCCTAATTCTCGAAACAAGTACCCCCTCCCCCTCCTCCCTCACTATCTTAACTAGAGGGGAGGGAGGAAAACCTATTTCTGTTGCCACGTTATTAATAACTTTTTAGGCTTCAACTACAGCGGAATCAGTAAAGGTTCATAGTTTCGTAATAAGTGCCCCCTTCGCTTAAGCGCCTTCCGAAATTTTAAATTAGCGCCCGGGCGATATTGTCACTGGTACTGCGAAACGTGTCACCCGAAACCTTCATGTGGCTTAGTTACCATTGCGGATTTGAGTAAGTCAGTTTGTAGGTTCAGTCTTTCGTGAATCTCACATTACTATCTGATATTCAAAAGACATTAATATTTGTTTGCTAATAATTCGAGAAAGTTTCCTTTTGAAGAAGCTACTTAATATGGTAAGTGTCTGTGTTTGGGTGAATCAGTATTCAAACTTACTGACGTCGAGAAGTCAAGAAAAATGCTAAAATTGTTTCTTGAAACACTCATGCGTCCGCCATCCTAGGTATGACACAACTATAAATTTTTTCTTTCAATAAGGTTTTTCAAGCATGCCATAACAACCACTGAAGCTGCAAGGACAGATTTTTATGTTCAGAATGAGTTAAAAATAATTGTTACGTGGCTTAATCGTTCGATATCAAGACTACAATAAGTGATAGTGTCGCTGAGACAGACTTTTTAGATTACATTTTAGGTGCATTATTTCAAGGCCATACTATTCTATAACAAAGCTGTAGTCCCAAAGTTAATCCACCGTCTTCGCGATCATTTTCTTCATTCAAGAACTGTATACTGTATGTAAAATGATGTATGAGGCCGAGCAGAAGTCCTGCCCGACTTCGCCAACCTCTGACATTTGTGTAATTCACACACGTAGCAATTGCTTCCAACTACGTCAGTCTTTACTGCTGAGCATATTCATAGCAGGTAATTTAGTGTTAACAACTGAGTTGAAAACGTAAATTGTCAGAGCGATTGACCCTTCGTCAATCGCTCTGACGAAGGCCTAACGCTCGAAACGTCGGCTTTTTTACCCTTTACGGTGGCCAGTTTACGTTTTCAACCCAGTTGTTAACATTAAATTACTTGCTATACTCTCCCACCGACGCAGCACTACAGTTTCTTTAGAAACTTACCCCCTTTATTAATTTATTCATAACTCTGGCAATCTAACGATGACTTTCAGCGCTACCTTGTCACTCCTTCCTCCTTAGATCTTAAAACTGGAGCCTCTGAGCTCGATTGGTGCTTCTTGTAGTTTATCATACGTCTTTTCAAGCCCTGAAGTTAGCAAAGACGTAAAACCAAAATGAAAATTGAAAGTTTTCACCTTTTGGTTTTCTTTAAGTAATGCGTTGCGTGACTGAGAGGAATAGCTTAGCCCACGCGTTACGAAGCTAATAGCGTGACCCTCCAGCAAAATAATCAAAGGCTCCGCCTCTCACAACGCCTCTCTGTTTATTACAAATGGAAAGTCGATGATTTAAAAAATATTTTTTTGAAAAACGAGTAAGTAGGATGAATTGGATCAGGTTCGAAAATGGTCAATTTTTTTTTTGCAACATTTTTGGATGTTGCAAAATGTTGCGCTCGTTTGGCCAGCTCCTTCACAACATCTCACTACACGATCCAACGATGTTGCAAGAGATTGAATTGAAATATTGCTTGCGCGTGGTCGAGCTTTTACCATGCCACTTAGCGTGGTATTCACAACCACCGCCTACCATTACGCCTCTCTATTTATTACAAATAGAAAGTCGATTATTTAAAAAATGCTTTTAAAAAAATAAGTCCATAGGATCAATTGCATCTAGTTTGAAAATGGTCAAATCTTTGTAGCAACAAATTTTGGATGTTGCAAGATGTTGCGCTTGTTTGGCCAGCTCCTTCACAGCCTTCCAACAATGCGTTGAAATGATCCATGCGTTTGGTTGTATGTTCACACCCCCAAAAATTCCTTATTTGGTGTGCGTTAGCCCACGACGCAATCGAACGCGTGCATGTGTACCAAACTTATCTATGTAATCAACGGCTAAGATAATTCTAAGTCTATGATATCGCTTTTCTGTAGGAAAATCTGCAAATGTCTGGAAATCCAGAGCGAAGGTAAGGGTATTTCTTTCTTGCGGAACAGCGGAAAGCTTAAAATAACGCTTGTAAGCGAACCACTTACTCCACGTTCTCGATTTTTGGCCGGTCCGAACTAGACCATGTTTGTTAATTTATTTTTGTGTTTTCGAGTAAGCTTATTGTATTTTAGCGTTGCTAGGATGATAGAGAAGTTTTCATAATAATTCGGCTAACAATGGTGTAAAATTGCGGTTGAAAAGGTGTAAAATGTACATCTACATTTTGCATTTGTTTATATTTGTGTGATAGAAAAGCAAAGGGACAGGTGACGCTAAAGCTAACATTTCACAATTTAGCTTAATCACGAAACGTACAATGGCATCGAAATTTTATTTTACTGGGTTAGTTAACCTTTTCCATCCACAAAGATAGCTTTAAACTTTTTAAAATATAAGGCTTCCTGTTAATTAAATCGCAAGCAATATTAATAGAAAATTAAAAAGCAATTGTCACATAAATAAGCTTTAGTCGAATTCCTTCTAATGTGACTATTGAACAGTATGTAAAGAATTATTCAGCTGCTAACTTAATGCTCATTATCAAACAATTCCGAATGCTAAATTATTTACGACCGATTGGCCAATCAAGCAGTATTTTTTTATGAATAAATATGCTAGTTGATGCAGCATAAACAAGCAAGATATACTCATGCATCTTAATTTTTTAAATTACTTTAATTTTTAGGCATGACTTCTAAAACTCAGTAAAAAGTGCTTGTTAAATTTTAAGGAATCTGCAGTGTATTTGACCACACACAGGTTTTAACAGGGTGACATGAAGTAATTTTTAAGCCCTTTTACTGCCAATTTTGTCTCCTTTGCCTGTCAGCATGGCTCATGGTATTTAACCTGGGTCAGCAAAGGACTACACATAGTAAAGAAAAAGTGCAAGACACACAGAAAGTGTCTGTTAAAGAAGTCGGTTTACCAAGAGTCAGAAACAATTTTTCATTGTTAAGCACTTGTCAACTGGTTATGGAAAAGCCTTAATGTAATCTTGAATTACTTTTTACACTCAGGTGAAAATTTCTCCAACTCTGTGCTTTATTTTCATGCTCTCTCTCTTTCTGATAATTCAGAAGCAAAGC